GGTACAAATTTGACCATTGATAAGACATTTTATTCTCTATGTTCCGGAAGAACATTGTTGAGTTTCAAGAACAATAATAATTACCACACTGAAACCTATGTAGAAAATGGAGTTAAATTTCGGTGCATCACTTCCGATCACTGCTAGGGGCCATGCAATATTACATGTAGCATGTTGGTCCGCCTGAGGCCTGTTGCAACCCAACCATATAGTGCCATTCAGTTGGTTACCGGATACGAACCTCACATATTGAATTTGTGCGTTTTTGCTTGTGCGGTCTATGTGCCGAATTCGCCGCCTTTACATACAAAAATAGGGCCTTAGCAAAGGATTAGAATCTATATCAGATATTATTCTCCTTCGATTATTCGTTACTTAGAACCTTTAACAAGAGATCTGTTTACCGCTCGTTTCGTGAATTGTCACTTCTATGCGATAGTCTTCAGGCAGTTAGGGGAGATAAGAATGTTAACATTCCTGATGAACGACGCGAATTATCATGGACGACTCTCACTTTGTCTCATATAGATTCCTGCACCGCTCAGTCTGAGACTGAAGTGCAGTGCATACTAGATCTTCAGAGCTTAGCTTAGAGTATGCCAAATACTTTCACCAATCTAATGCGAGGGGCAAGATCAAATATTCCAGTTGCAAATTTGCCAACAAAGATTGATGTACCAAATGTACGACGAACTTCCCTCCTGGACGCCTGGGATGCCAACTTTGGCAATCCACGTACATTATCGGCTAGCCAATCATCTGCCCCTACACATAAGCGTGGCAGACCTCTTGGTTCAAATGATTCACACCCCCGGAAGTGGAAACCCATGACATAGACACTTGAAGAGCCTACCGTGAATTGGACTGTCGTCTACTCATTTTGTCTAACTTATGAGGAAATTCTAGATTACGGAAGCGTCCTTGAAGAGACGAAACCACCTCCTAAGATCGTGAGATTTTGGTCCATTATGCTAGCTTGGATGATGTTGAGCAATGACACTGAACCCCGTTTCGTTGATGAATGTCGACGTAGACCTGATTGGTCCAACTGGAAACAAGCAATCTAAGTCGAACTAGATTCATTTGCGAAACATAAGTGTTTGGACCTGTAGGTCTTACTCCTCCATATGTGAAGCTCGTTAGCTATAAGTGGGTTTTCTTTTGGAAACGTAATGAGAATAACAAAATTGTGCGTTACAAAGCTCGTCTTGTTGTGCTAGGCTTCTCACAGTACCCCGAGATTGACTATGATGAAACTTATTCACCCGTTATGGATGTGATTGCTTTTTGCTACCTTATCAGTTTGGTAGTTTCCAAAAAACTGAGTATGCAGCTGATGGGCGTAGTAACTGTGTATCCCTATGGGGATCTTGATACGAAAATTTATATGAAAGTTCCCAAAGGACTTACATTGACTAGATCAAATATTTCCAAACCTTGGAACACGCTCTCAATTTGGCCGAGGCGTTCACTCTAGGGTTTGAAGGAATCCGGAAGAATATGGTATAACCGTCTAAGTGAGTATTTGACTAGTTATGGATATGTGACCAATGAACTATGCCCTTGTGTGTTCATTAAGAAGTCACATTCGGTTTTGCAATTGTTGCAGTATATGTCGATGACATGAATCTTATTGAAACTTCTGAAGAGCTTGCGAGAACTGCCGCACACCTGAAGTCGGAATTTGAGATGAAAGATCTAGGAAAGACTTGATATTGTCTCAATCTCGAGATAGAGCACCATTCAGATGGACTCTTAGTACATCAATCGAACAATACCCAAAGGTGTTGCGCTGCTTTAACGATGATAAAGCGAAGCCTTCGAGTAATCCTATGGTCATTTTATCGTTAGATGCAAAACAAGATCCTTCCATCCGAAGGAAGATGATGAAGACATTTTGGAGTCTGTAGTTCATTATCTAAGTGCGATAGGCGCATTATTGTACTTAGCTCAATGAATTAGACCCGATATTTCCTTTGCTGTTAATCTTTTGGCAAGATATAGTAATGCACCAATACGCAGACATTGGATTGGTTTTAAAGACATTTTCTGCTACCCTAAGGTACTACGGATCTAGGCTTGTTCTACCCCTACGAATCCTCGAGTGATGCGCACACCCCTTTTATCTTGAGTCAATTCTTGTCTTATTGGTTATGCTGACGCATGATACTTATCTAATTCGTACAAGGCGCGCTCTCAAATGCCTTTACCATTGGAGGCACCACAATCTCTTGGAGGTCAACTAAATAGACCTTAGTTGCCACTTCGTCTAACCATGCTGAAATTCTCGCCTTACATGAAGGAACTCAGGAATGCTTTTGGTTGAGAATAGTTGTGGGCCATATTTGAAGCTCCTGCAGCCTTTACCTTGTCGTTGATGTCCCGACGACGATCAATGAAAAACGCAGCATGCATCGAACAGCTTAAGAAGGGTTACATCAAAGGAGACAACACCAAGCATATTGTGCCGAAGTTCTTCTTTTCACATTAACAACAAGAGCATCAGAAGATTGAAATCACACAAATCTATTCACAAGACAATCTGGCCAACCTCTTCACCAAATCTCTACTGAAGGCGACGTTTCAGAAGTTTGTTCAAGGAATTGGTATGCATAAACTTTTTGAGTTGTAACATTGCTAGTTCTCTTTCAAATTATGTCAAACTCAAGTGAAGTATCCTAAAGTATTCTTGTTTGATCTTAATGTACTCTTTTTCCCTATGATTAGAAGCATTTTTTCCACTGGGTTTTTGCTACCTAACGAGATTTTGGCGAGGCACCCACCTTGGGTTGATCATATCTCTAATGACGTCCCGTAGACGTTTCATTTGACTTTGCATTTCTCGCACTTTTTTCCTTAGACTACGGGTTTTGTCCCTACTCAGGTTTTTACCATAGCCATAGGGTTTTTTTTTTTTTTTATGAGACTTACTTTCTTATGCAAGTTCCTACCTTATTGAGAATAGTGTGTTCCTAGAATCTGTGCCAACGAGTCGACTTCTTCAACCTCTACATAATGCCAAATCTACTTGAGTATTTACACACTCAAGGAGAGTGTTATAAACTTCTTATTTAAGTATGATTATGTAAATCTTAGATTATATTTGATTCTAGTTATTCTTTCCTATTAGGACTTGTATTCCTTGGAGGAGAATGATTTCTTCTCTCTTTTATTACTATAAATAAAGGCACTGTGTAGGGAGAATGACAACATCCTCTACACAACCCTACAAACACATCTCTCTCTATATTCTCTCTATGTTACCAACCCCCCTTCCCCTACTAGTTAAATATAGGCCACACCAATTTCTACATTAATACTCTTTTCCCATCCAATTAGTATAACAAATAAATAGATATTTGAAAGATCAAATCGGACAGTCGATTTAGTATGGTCGGATTTCAATTTTCTAAGAGCAAACAGTCACCCCAAATATTTACCTAATACAAGTGAGAGAGAAACCAACTTGACATAGGGCTCATTTTTTGTGGAGGATTGGATTGAAATTGATAACCGCTAAACTTAATGTATTATGAATGATGCAGGTAGCCTAGGAGTTTCCAGGAGACGATGGATAGTTAACCTTAGAATCACTCAACCACGGTAAACGGAATCACTCACGTTACTAATCGTGGATTCACTCGACACGGCCAAGCCAAATGCTTGATTTAAAAAGGAAGAAACTCACTTACTTCTTGGATTAATTATAATTCACTAATTGACTGATTTTTTTAGTACATAAGAATCCCTTTAAATAGGGAGATTACAATACATTGGTAGGATAGAAATCTTAATACTAAAGATTGTAGTTTCTACGCATGTAATTAGAACATGACTTTGAAAGCTGAAAAACAGCCATCAACAACATGTTTAATACATGGATCATATTAATTGTGTGGACTGCATCATACTCCTCTTCTCGGAAAGAACTCGTGCTCGAGTTTGAACCCTTTTTGTATTTTTGTTTGAATTTAGGTTTTCGACCTGTCCAAGATTTGAACTCTTTGAGCTCTCCAAAGAATTGAGTATCAACAACTTGGACCAATAACATCTTCAAAAAAGCAGACAATGAGTGAACACATATGGCACCGAACCAGATTTTCAAAGTAGTATTGGTTGAAACATTTGAAATCATCTTCCAACCAGGATTTTTCTTCTTTTATTGGAATATGATGAAAAACTATAGTCCTGAGATTTCCTCTTGGCTCAAGCCTTAGTGGTGGATGGTGTAACTTCCTGAGCAAATTTTTTTGGAGTTACCTCTTTGGTAGGAATCATCAAGTATCCATCATCTGAACACTCATCATATATTGGAGGCAAATTCCAATCAACAACTCTTTGAGAAGAACACAAATTCTTTTTCAATAATATTTGACTCAGATTAATGACTGATACCTGATTGTCATCCATGGGAGCAATATGCTGGTATATCCTCTCTATTTGGAAGAAATGGCGTTTGCAGATTTTCTCGCACAACCGCACATCCTTCGGTATTTAATAATAATCTTCTACAGAAAACTCTGATTGACGCACTGTTGGTTGCATTGGTAATAGACTTCCAGAGCTTTCCGGAGATATATAACTTTCCAAATGAAAGTCATGGAAACTGGGTCAAATTTGATGAACAGCAGATATTATTCCCACCGCATAGCAGTGGTCTTCAAATTGTTTTCTTTCGAGGCTTGCCTCCCGCATCAATGAAGGTACATAGAGGAGAATGATTTGTCATTTTATGGGAATTAGAAGAGGATTAGACATGAAGAAAACTTCTCCCTTCTAATCCTCCGATTTTGGGGAGGATTGAAATACTTTTCTTTAGTAGTAATTGATCTCCTACCTCCAAGTTGGATGTAAAATTTTCTTTTCTATTTTGAACATACCTTGAAAACAGTTAATTATCATTCAAATCCAATTCTTCATACCAAACGAGACCTTAGGGCCAATTTAGCAAGTAACTATGAGTTTCAAATTCATCAAGAAGAAGTTTAAACTAGCTAAAATAGCCAAAGTCGATAATATTATCGACACATTTATTGGAAACGTAATAGAAAACAACCTAGCTAGCTGCATATTACAGAGCTATTCGATTCATATGTATTTAAGTTCCTACTAGATTCGTAACCAACTTCACACGTAGTAGATCATACAAGTTCTGGAGAGTCTGGTCTGATCTGATGATAACCTTACATATTGCGTGTCGTCATTCGCTTAATATTGGTGGGATAAACTTCAGTTTTAAGGGAAGAGGCGAAGGCCTTGTTTGCTATTTGAACGTTCACAGCTTCCGTTGGATGCAAGCCATCAAAGAACACAAGACTGCTTCTGTTTCCGCACACTTGCCCTCCCTTTTTGCACAAAATTCCATTCCCTCCTTCATTTATTGATGCCACTTCACAACAAGTAGTGCTAGCATCCTTGAATCCTGCAAAATTCCATTATTTTGTTATTATAACTAATTTACATGTTTTTGATTTACAAACGTACTAATTGTACTAATTGTTTACGAGCAACTTTCAATCAAAATCTTGTTTTACCGTAGCTAAAACGGAATATATGTATAGGACCATCATACAGATTCCCTACAGGAGCCTTATCCTCTCGTTTTTGCTACAATAAATGGGATGCATGCTAAGAGCGTCATCATATATGCTAATTTATTAAGATTGGCCATAAGGTGGGCCAAAAGAGTGTTTATGTATCTAACATATGTTGATCACGTTATTTTACTTCGAAGACAAGACTTCAGATGGATAGGTGAATGAATGTTAAGAAGAGAGATCTCTACGCACCTTTGGAGATGGGATTTTTTATAATGTCTCTAATGATCTTGTAGGAGTTAACAAATACAAGAGATGAGCCCGGCATCTGTACCCTCATACCATCAACCAACGACTTCAAGTGAGTATTGAAGAGATGAGCTGCCCGGTTCAGTTTCTGCATGCAACCATTATGTGTTGGTCGGCTCATCCTCACCACAGGACTACACCCTAATGGATTTATTGACATCAACACAAACTTTCGAGCTCCTAAACTGTGCAACTTCTGCAATCATCACCAAATATTTCAAGCTATATATTAATTGTTGACATATTTATATGCATATAATTGTTGTCTAGCTTATGAATATAGAAAAATATTTTTTTTTTCCTGAAACAGAAAAGAAAAATCTTGCATTTTGTGATGAAATTAATACTATTACAAGCCAATTTGTTTTTTCAAATACGTACAATCATTCACGATTCACGAATAATACCTAATGAATCACTTAGAAACCATATCCAATGAATAAAAAATTTGGTAATGAGAGTTCCTTTTATATAAGCAAATATTAGAAAAGGAAGATTCGATAGAAACTAATACTACGTAAAAGCTAAACGCTATTAATCACTTAACTATAAGTCTTCTACGAGTAATGAAATCCTCCACAGCGTACGGAATTCAACGTGTCTACTTTATATCATCCTTTACTTGTATGTGTAGGGTCAGGGTGTGGCGGTAGAGAAAATTTGAATGGGTTCGGTTTGAGTAATGAATTTTACGCTTGTCTATATATCTTCCGACATTTATCAATTACTGGTCTATCTGATTGCACCCCACCCCACATCATATTCATATATAAATGTTATATATATATATATATATAGTGTGTGTGTGTGTGTGTGTGTGAAAATGGTCCTACACATATAGAGATTGTAATACTAATCATTCAAGAGCCTTGCAAACAAGAAGGTTTTGTAGATTTTCTTTACCACCCGATGACATCACGTGATAACTATTTAATAGACTAATGTTGTACACTAATTAAATACATGACAAATTTTTCAACGCACTCGTAATAAAACGAGATGAAAGAAAGTTGAAGTTCTACTATACAATAAATTGACAATACGAAAAATAATCTACTACTTATAAGCTCATATAATGTCTTTTTTTTTTTTTCTTCCAAATTTCGGGTACATGAAAAAATATCTGCTTGTCGTGGTTGAAACATTAAATATGGGAGGTATGGTTGTTGAATGCTGATATGGTTCTCTTGACTCAGTCGCTGTTTCCCGACAATAATGAAAACAGACATATCATATACAATAAATACTCTACCATCTACTAGTCAGATTATTTACTACGTACGCCTGACCCGTTTTATTTGGAGCTTGGACCAACTGCATAAATTGGAACTGAATGCATTAAACAAATGCTAGCTAGTCAGCATGAACATAAATACTGTGCACGAATATGATGCTTGTTTTATAAATGTGTATTCAGAATATTAAAAAGGGGCCTAAGTCCCTTGATCAACTACAGGGACTACCTTCAGAGTACAATACAATCAAAATTATCATTTGTTCATGTACCGAATTGTATTTCGAATACATGAAAAAATCTCTCTTACATGCACATACATTTATGTTTTTGTACACTAACATGCATAATTAAAATTTTCTGTAAAATATAATAAGTTAACGGTAGATATATACAAGTTGGCAACAATTAAACGGTGAAATGTTTTGAGAAATTGGCTAATAAATATGATTATTTTTCAAATTCTGTGTTGAAATAAACAATTTTTTGTTGTAGTTATCTGATATATATTATTAATTTTTTTTGTTGTTATATCATCGATCTAATAATTTTAATTAGTTCAATAATTAAAATTTGATTTTAATATTTTAGTTAATTTCCCAAACATTTTTTTTATGTCTGATTTGATTGCATATCTATAAAATAATATGAGAATAACATGGATATATATATAGTAGTTAAATGCATGCACCTTTAGTTGTGTGGACAAAGAGGCAGTGAGATTGGCAGTGAAGGTTTCAAGGGTGACGTTGCGGGAGGAGGTGGTCAGGAAGTAGTTGAATGAGTAATCGTTTCCGCCGGTTCCCACCACAAACAAGTAGTCCTCGAGTGACTGAGAGGTTGTGCACCGGCCTAGCTCCGCTTCCAACTCTGGCAACGTTACCTCCTCAAAGTTTCTGATTTGCTGATTCAGATTTATCACATGCCCCTGCAAATATATGATGAATATTTATATGCCATCTAAGCCCATCATATATATCATCATTTTCCCATAAATTCAGTATTCAATAATTCAGGCCATCCAAACCCATCATATATACATCATTTTCCCAGAATTCAGTATTCAATAATTGAGGTTAGCCGTAAGCTTCTGCTTTTGGTCCAATTAATAAATTAACATAGGTATATGATCAAATAGAACTAGAAATAGCACACTGCATGAGAGGTCATGTGTATCCTCTTACATACATGCATTTACTAACACATTCATCATCTAACGGTCAAATATACAAGAGAATACCGTATCTTACTAATAAATGGTGAATGTACATGCATATATCGTAGCCAAGTCAATATGGATATAATTTCAGAAATTAATGGCTAAACCCTAATTCCTGCTCTATATTTGGATGGATAGAGATTTCATTCTGAAGAATTTAGCCCGACTTGTTAAAAAGAAACATCACAACTAGAGCGCGAGAAATGCACTACCAAACATCAAACAAAGGACTTTTAAAATGCCACATGAAATGCACAGGATCTGGTTATTTCCGAATTTCCATCATCTACTTTTTATAGTGTTATTATTACAAACTAATTCAGGCTTTAAAACTTCTAAATCCATGGTGCAAACACAGTGTCACGGATTCACGGTGATATAATTAAGGCAAGAAAGAAAGAATTTGATGATAGCTATATATTGGAAATAGATATGACGGTAAGAATGAAACAAATTAAAAATTACGGTTATGTTTGTCATGCATACGCACCGCTAAAGAACCAGTATCATCAAGAATACCAGAAGCACCAGAAGCAAAGTTGACGCCATGAAGGATTTTGGTTCCCTTAGTTTTGGGGTCAGCAAATGCTGGAACGAAGGAAGGAAGCTTGAGATGGTCGCCGAAAAGGTCGATAACATTCTTCCCGTTCGTAAATCTCCCAGAAGGCCCGATAGGAAAATCGATTCCGTACGGCAAGTAATCAGCTTTGGCCAGTGAGTCCGGGAGGAAGTTGTTGTTGCCATTGTCGACCAAAGAGCTTCCAAACACAAACATGCCCTTGATCCCTTCACTAGCTGCCCCTGCCTCACCGTCGTGTTCGTCAGTGTTTTTGCTTACACCGACGTCACAGTGGCAGCTACTGCAGGGAAAGAAGCAAGCAAGGACTAGGAGAGGGAGGCCTACAGGGAAAACTACTCCCAAACGTGAAGACTTATTTGCAGCCATATTTTAGTCTAAGGTGGTGGTGTTGTCTAGATATTTGCCTTGTTGATTGAAGTATGATATATAAGAAAAAGAATTTTAACAAAACATTCCAGTACTGTTTACTTTTAACGAAAAATCACATTTATATCTTTCTTTGATACTATTTATTATGCTTTTAAAAAGAACTTTTCATTAAAAATGAATTTTTTTTAAACTTTTTGTTAATTTTCTTATATAAAAATAGGCATCAGTAACGATGACATCCATATTCAACTACTTCCAATTAGTGGATTCAATGTGCGCTCCTTCTGGTGAAAAATATGGGGCCCAAGACCGAAATTATAAAGCAGACTATGTAAGACGATATCGTTATTAAAAATACACATTTCTAGTCTTTATGGGTTAATCTGTCGTTATCGTATCTCGTGCTTGATATTATTACACGTATATGAAGAACAATCACTTCGGGCTTTTGTTACAGAAAAATACTAAGGAAATCATTTTTTGTTGAATAGATGATATGACAGTTGATGGTTTCTTTAAATTATTAAAAAAAATTTCAACTATCAATTTTCACATCTATACTTTATAAAAAATGGTTTAAGTAGATAACATCTCTAGCATCACCTTTTGTTGAAAAAATAAGAGTAGAGATTATGGGAATATGATTTTGTTGCACTCTTCTTCTTGTGGTGGCACATATTTATAGGGATATGCCCTTTTGTAGATAAAGATAACAATAACTCATTATCCAATTACAATATGAAATAAAAACCTACGAGTAAATAAAATAAAATATGATTATATTCCTATTTTAAGTTGGACTTTACAATGCTCATTCTCAAGTTGGTGCATAGATATTACTATTGTCTAACTTGGCAAGTGAATCAAAGAATGTCTCTACCTTAATCAATATGGGACTATAGATTTTTGGACAGTAACATATTGCACTCGGCGTGGCTGGAATTCCTTGAATGTGTACGCAAAGTCAGACTAGGCTCACCGGATCAGGCAGTTGGGCCCGATCCGACGTGCTCCAAAGTGGTAGGCGGGACTAATCTCGTCGAGGATTTCTTCCCATAAAGATGGGAAACCCAGTTAAACTGTAATTAGGAATTAATTCCGAGTAACTTGAGAGTTTAAGGTTTAATGGGATTAGTATGCACCACAAGCAGAGAAAATAAAATCTCTCCCTAAATTTTCTCTAGGATTTTCCCAGTTTTTCGAGGATTACTATCCTCCCAAAGACTTTCCATGAATTAGTATATAGAAATATCCCTTTTAGTGATCATTTAATATTACGGTCTAATAGTATTCATCTTCACCAGTAAATGAGAGCTCTTAGGTTTGATTCTTGACAAAGACAAATTTGAACTACATTATTACTAGCTCATTGTGAGGTTTAGCCCACTCCCCCCTCCCTTTAGTATAGATAATATTGTATGTTAAAAAAACAAAAACAATTTCCCTCTCAGTCTTCATATCAAAGATAATAAATACTTATGCTTTCAAGCCCACTGCTGAATTATAATTTATTTACTTCATCGTTAGAGGGTCCTCAATTAGCCGATACTGGGAGATGGTGACTAAAAACAAAAGAGAATAGTATGAGCACCTTTCAAAATACTAGTGTCTGTTTGATAGCTGGGATGAGATTGAGTGTTAGGAATAAGATTGGATTGACACAGACTTGTAAAACAAGACTTGTAACTTATGTATAAGATAGGTTAAATAACTCATTCTATTATAGATTCATAACTTATTATATCTAGTCATGTCCATCTCATATTTTGACACAACAAACAACGAAATAAACTCAAGTTTATTTTAATTGATCACAACCTATTCCATCTAGTCCACCAAACGGGGCCATGTGCTTACAGGACAATTGTTCGCACGTCCACTGGATGCATTCCATATAATTTGGTGCATGGATCCAAAGTCATGCTATGCTTGGACTTTCAGAGGCATTCTTTAAGTACTACAGCCACGCGGGTAGCAAATCCATATGACAATGACTTCAAATCCATATGACAATGAAGTCAGGCAAACTTGAGGCAGGTGATGAAAGACGACTTGTCGTGCAACAAAAGCTCAAAAAATATCAAGCTCAAGTAGCAGTTGCTTTAACCAAGAAGGTGATGTCCTGAGCTAATTAAATTGGAGGGCCACATATGTTGTCGCAAATGTCTTTGTCAAAGGCGCCCAAGAGTTGTCGGACTGTGATGAACAATGCATATACCGATGTGTAAATTACGTATGGCTTGATATCTCTCTTTATAGTTGGATATAACTGTAAAATTTCGTAATTATTTTTCTCTTGAATCAAGAGATGAACTACGTTTGACTTGATTTGTTCACAAGATAAGTAGGTAGTGTGGTTTTAGAGATTGGATGCAGTCATACAACACCAAAGTTATACTGTTCTAGAAATGGCATGTGTATTTGGTTAAACTGCCAAGAACTCAAATCATCTGACCTAAATAGTAAAAACTGCAGACAACAAATATAAGTTTAGCACCCTGAACGGGAATGAAATTTAGTGTTGGGAAAATTACAAGGTGTGATATTCATATAAGAAGTATGTAGACAATTAGACTGAGGTGCATATATCTTGCTTTTAAAGAGATTTAGCCTACTGCAGTTTGACAAAAGTTAAAAGATGATACATGTATTACTTGTTGTGTTATTTTACGTGATCAATTATTCTATATAGTATTTTTTTTTTTTCAAATAACCAATAATCAGACATATTTAATGAAAACATAATGAAGCGATAAAACCAAGGTAGGTAGTTGTGGGTTACTTAATGTCTAGTTTGTCAGCTCAGATTATACCGATTATTTTAGTTGAATAGGATAAATAGTCGTCAAATGATACTAACTGAATTAATCAAACGTTTGGTGCAACATCGAACTAATGACTATATTATTTATTATGTGTTTGGTACTATACTGCAGCCAAATCACCGTTTTATTTACGCACCGCACCCAACATGCTCATATTATTGAATTCATGATGCCAAGATTCTATAAAATAAATCAAATGCACTTTCAATTTCCCCATTTTGGATATAACCTGCAATCGTGGATGCGTAGGAGTAGTTAAATTAAAGCATCTCAAGGCATAATCAGATAAACCCAAAGAAAAGTAGAAATCAATAAGTCCACTTCAAATGAATTCATCTCCCTGCAAGTCGTACTCATACTCAAGAGTTTCAATCGAGATAATAACCAAATTCACCAAAAAGCTCAAGAAGAAACGAAAAAAAAGAGAGAAATTCAGAAGGTAATAACCCACACGAACCAAAACTAAACCCATTTAGAAGATTAACACAGAGAGAATAAATAACCCAATTCACCAAAAAGCTCAAGAAGTTGGGAAAAATCGCCCAATCCATAACATATCTAACTCAGAATCTTTGCAATTCTTGCCAAAAACCCAATCAAATTGATTTTTTTTTTTCAATGATTCGACCCATACCAAGAAATCAAACCAAGTGGGTAGTGTTCTTCTGGCAGGGGAGATGGGTGCACAATGAATAAAAAATATATACAGGTCAATTTTTTTCAGATCTCAAAATTGACAAACCCTAAAATTTTAATTAATAGAAAATTATAATCAATTGCAAAATTAGAGAAAACAATAACCAAATTCAATTAATTGAAAGGAAATTGCAAGAAAAGTAGATGGAGGAGGGCAGAAACTAATAGAGAAGAAAAAGAAGAAAGACTGCAAGAAAAATAGATGGAGGAGGGCAGAAACCGAAAGAGAAGAAGAAAAATTGCAAGAAAAAAAGGAAGAGGACGGCAGAACAGAGAGAAGAAGAAGACGAAAAGTAGGAGGAAAGGAGAGAGTGAGAGAACCGTGTTTTCCACCTGCCCGACTAAATAATACCGTGTTCTGGGGGAGTATAATTAAGCAGGCATGAACCGGATAGAATGAATGCGGAGGATTATTAATTCGGTGACTATTTAATATATACAGACATCAAATTTCAGATTTCGTATTATTAGTACTATCTGATGTTTTAAACAACGTGCTAAGAGAGGCCTAAAAATACTGAAGAGAAATGCGGGGACTCTTTTAAAGTGAGACTCTTCATGAACTCTCCGACACCTCATGGTTTTTTGCAAATTCTCATGCCAACATTATTCTTCTTCACTTGTATGTGAGAAGTCTTAGGTTTAATTCTTGCCAAAGGCGAATTTGAACCACATTATTGCTAGCCCATTGTGAGGCTAAACCCAACCAAGTCCCCCTTAGTATAGATAATATCGTTTGTTCAAAAAAAGAAAAAAAATATTATGCCAAAAACGTGAGGTGGCAGAGAGTCCCTCTTTTGAGAGAGTCATTTTCTGTCAATTTGGCTGTTAAATTATGACATGGCAAAAGAGGGTCCACTTTTTTGCCAACCGGAATAAAAAAAAATTTTTAATTAATAATAAATTAAGAATATTTTATTTAAAAATCAAAATTAATTTGCTATTTTGAAAAACATATTTTATTAATTAAAAAGGCTTGGTTAAAAGTAATTTTACTTTAAAACTTAAAAATAAAAACAAAAACAAAAAAATTGAAGGCAGCCTTCTCGTCACCCTCTTCGCAGGTCAGCTTCTTTACCATCGCTATTGATTCGGCAAGAACCTAGATCCACCCCGCCGTGTAAGTTCCTCATCCTTCTTCTTCCTGATAAGCACGATCCTCGGGCCCTTCACTCAAGACTTGCAAGTAGCCAAGTAATGGAGCCGTGTATGGAAGATGAAGATAGTGAGAGAGCTGCAATTATTTTTTGTATTTATTGTTTTTAATAAAATGATTGTTCTCTTACTAATGCTACAATTGGCCCTTATATTATTTCCTTCCATGCTAGCAGCCAGCTGGCTTTTACGCATAAAGCTAGTAACTAATTAAAAGCAACTCATACATATTAGAATTACTTAATACCCCTTAATTGTGATCAAGCTAATCACGATCCTATCATTACCTTCTCATTCCAAAACAACGTTGTCCTCAAGGTTACATTTCATAGTTTGAACTCTGGGAATCAAGCAATGACAGAGTCATAGTCCTCCCATGTGGCTTCTTCCTCTGAACAGAACTTCCATTTGATAAGTAGTTAAACTCTAGCTGCACTGCCCTTCTGGTATATTCTTCGTTTGAGCACTGCTTTTGGTTCTTGAGTGAGTAGGCCATCATCTATCACTAGAGGTAATAGGGGAAGAGGTTCGACTCGAGCACCCAAGTGTTTCTTGAAGAAGCTCATATGGAATACATGATGTATCTTGGATCCTAGAGGAAATTTAATTTTGTAAGCCATAGCCCTCACTTTCTCCAACACTTCAAAAGGTCCATAATACTTAGGATGCAGTTTGTGATAAGCATGCATAGCCAAGGACTATAACTGATAGGGAATTAACTTCAAGTACACAAAATCCCCAACTTCAAATTCCCTTTCACATTTACATTTGTTCGCCTAAACCCTCATTCGGTTATGTGCAACCAATAGATTTGTTTTCAACATGGACAACATTTGATCCCGAGCTATCAAGCCTTGTTCAACTATTTCAAGTTTGGCAGTACCCCTTTCATATGCCGCAATATGGGGAAGAGGGTATCCATTAACTATCTCAAAAGGAGTGAACTGTGAAGAAGAGTGAAAAAAGGTGTTATAGTTCCATTCGCCCCTTGGGAGCCATTGGAGCCATTTCTTGGGCTGGCAGCTTATGAAGCACCTCAAGTAAGTTTCCAGGCAACGGTTAACCACTTTACTTTACCTGTCGCTTTGTGGATGATACCTGAAACTCATGCAAAGTTGAGACCCTTGTAGTTTGAAGAACTCTTTCCAAAACATACTCAGAAAGACATTCTCTATCACTTACAATGGTGGTAGGAATCCCATGCAATTTAAACACATTGTCCACAAATGCTTGAGCCACTATGCTAGCTGTGTAAGGGTGCCCCAGTGCAATGAAATAGGAATATTTGGACAGTCGATCAACCACAACCATGATCACTCATTTACCTTTACAAGCAGGTAGGCCAATGATAAAGTGCATACTTATGTCACTCCACACCTTTTCAAGAATAGGTAGGGGATGTAGAAGTCCTGGGGGCGAGATGGTCTCATATTTATTTTGTTGGCAAATTCTACACTCGGCAACCCAATGCTTTATGTCTTTCTTCGTACCAACCCAGTAGAAACTCTTTTTCAACCTTTGATAGGTTTTAAGCACCCCTTCATGGCCTGCAATAGAAGTGCAATGGTGCTCCTCAAATAACCTATTCCGCCAACTCGAATCCAGATGGATTACCATCCTGGAATTATACTTTAAAAAACCATTGTCTAGGTGGTATTTGGAAAGAGATTTGTCAATAGCATCTGAAGTTAAGCGTTCCATGACTTCCTTGCTTTTCTGTAATATCCACGGATCCTGCTCCAAATGTCTCCTGAGATCATCTAACCACCCAAAATAGGGATAGGTTATTGTTGTGCATTCTGGTCATTGCATAGTGTCTTCAGGTAAGAGGTTGGAACCGGGAGCTCTAAACAAAGCATCTGCAACAGTATTATCTGTCATATGCTTATACTGGATTTCGTAGTCAAATCCCAAGAGCTTGGAGACCCACTTTTGCTGGAAATGAATGGTTGCTCTTTGTTTGAGAAAGTATTTCAAACTTTGTGATCCGTTTTTATGATAAAATGATGCCCTTGGAGATAATTCTGCCACTTTGAGTAACATGGATGATAACTATCGGCTCCCTTTCATATGTAGACAAAGCTTGGTTTCTAGGCCCCAATGCATTGCTAGTAAAGGCAATTGGCCTTCCTTTTTGTTGGAGGACATCCCTTATTCCTACACCTGAAGCAGCACATTCCAACAAGAAAGGGGTTGAAAAATTAGGTAGTGCAAGCAATTGAGGCGATGTCATAGCTGTTTTAAGCTGCTAGAAGGACAATTTAGCATCTTATGTCCAATGAAACCCATCCTTCTTGGTCAGCTGATATAAAAACCCAATTTTTTCCAAAAACTTATCAATCATTTTGGATTTCAAGATTCTCGATTTTGATTAAGGAGAAATTCAACTTTACCTCTCGAAGTCCCACCGGTTTTTTTTGCATTTTCTGGGGTTTCGATTTCATTTCCCTCTGATTCTTAAGGAATGGATTTTCTGGGAATTGAAGCCACACAAAGAGAGAAGAGATTAGGCAGCCTGGAGTTAACACTTCCTCCTTCCATACCCACGGACGCATGAGGTTCCTCTACGAGGCAAAAAGTGAACACAACCTGGGAGAATGACTTCTGAATTCACAACAATGAATAGAAATATTTTTAAATTAAACTCCGCAATCATCGAATCTGAATCCAAGATCCAACAAAACCAACCAAAGGAAATTGAAAGAGTCAAAATGTAAACAACAGGAGCTCAGCGATCTGTTTGGCGCCTAAGAAAATCCGAAAAAAAAAAAATTGAAAACAAATTCAAGGAAATGAAAAACAGGTAAAGATTCAGATAGAATTGACAGAGATTACAGGGAGAAAGTGAGTGTGGTGTAGAGAGAGGTGGAGGTAAATGAGCGAAGTTTGTGGAATGAAGAACATTTTTGGGATGGTTGGGTTGCTCAATGCGATAAAGAACATTTTTTCTTTTTTAATTCATTTTTTTTTTCAAAATAACTAATTAAAATACTTTTTTAATTAATTTTAATTGTTAAATAAAAAATTCTTAATTTATTATTAATTAATTAACTTTTTATTCCAGTTAGCAAAGGAGCAGGCCCTCCTCCTGTGAAATCATCATTTAACAGTTAAATTGACAGAAAATTTAATGGATGTCTGACATTGCAACGAATTCATAAGTTGAGGTATGACATTGCAATGTTTAAAATATGAGATATGAGATTGTGGTTTGACCCAAAGTTGAGGTAGTTTTGTGTAATTTACCCTTAAATTTTAGACGGAATTTAACAACAATGACTAATAGCACACATTTTGTTAAATTTAGGGACTTTAATAACAGATTTTAGTTCATGGCCCAAATCTAAACTTAGGTGAAAGTTCAAGTACCAATTCTAAATTTTACTCTTTAAAAATTGGAGACATGCTTGGTATTTGTTATTTTAAATAAGAAGTTACTACTTAACCTGATTATAATCAAGGGTTGTTTATCATAAAAGGGATAAAAGAGGTGACCTTCAAATATTAATTTTCTTGTTAGTTCACTTGATGGTGGTTACAAAATTGGTTTAGCCACAGACAAAATGTATACCAGTTTCACGTGAAATGGCAGAGAAGATCACACATACATATAGCAATTACAAAATTCAAATGTCTTTCACTTGTTTCACATGACATACATAGAAGGCAACGGTAGTTACATAAAGTAAAATCTAACCAAAACATAGAAGGCAGCGGTAGTTACATAAAGTAAAATCTAACCGAAACAATTTACGACACATTAAATTTCATGTCCGCTCAAGCACTCACGTCATGTTGGTAATAAAGGTAGGTTAGCCACAAACAAAATATTCATCAACTTCACGTGAAATGATTGAGGGTGTCTCACATGCATATAACAGTTACAAAATTCAAAGAGAACCATTGTTGGCATTCTAAAAATCTATTTGTGTACTTGTTACAGGATTATTTTACTTTCTAAATATATAAAGTTTGATGTGCACGTTTAATAATTTTTTAAGGTCGCCGAAAATGTAGGAGTGGCCGACATCTAGGTCGACATGGCAGAGGGACGATTGTCCATAGCCACTCACAATCTAATCAAATTTTCTTCATTTTTCAAGGAAACAAATTTACATATTCAATGATAAATTACCAATAATTTTCACTGTCCAAAATATAGTGATCTTTTCAGTTATATACTAATTCTAGATAATATCTTTGTAGCCTTACATTAATAATTAATAACTATGCTAAACTTTGGATGTAATGCAAGGCCAACCAACGACAAAGGCTCGCTGTAACTCAAAACCAATAAGTTACAAGGAGACCAGAAGTCTGCTTGGTGTGCTTTTTGGTACCTATACTAACCCGTAGTTTATGTATATGTCCAAATACATAAGCTTTGACATTACCTTAAAGTTCATCCAAACATCCATAGTTAAATCAGAAAGGACTATATATAAGATAATATACAACATAATCCATAAAATGAGAGCTAATTACTCAAATTAGAGTGTTTACATATTCGTTAACTTTATGTTAACATTCCAAGGCAACAAAGCCACTACCACTAACCTAATCGGAAGAAGAACAGACAATGATGTGCCGCAAGGGCTTCGCCACTTCATTTCCATTGGCAAGCTTGAAAAATTCAGCCAGAAAGTGTAAAAGGTCGTGGCAAACATACAAAATGGCCATCTCGGGCATACAAAATTCCTTCAATCTATCTCCCGCCTGCTCTGAAGGGCATACATGTTTTGATGTCCTTATGAGAAGGCAGTGTCTCAACATTTCATGATACTGCATAGAATTTACACAAGTCAAAATCTTTGAAGTAAGTTAAATATTGTCTAATCAAAAGACCGATATTCTATGGGAACAAATTAGCACGAATCCAGAATGACAGTGGAAGATCACTTTAAAAGATTATTTACGTCTAATGGCAATCGGGACTGGGGGATATCCTTAGTTTCCTGGACTTGGTGGTAACGATTGAAATGAACGAGACATTATGTAGTCCTATTTCTGATGAGGAGATAAAAGATGCAGTGTTCAACATGGGAGGATTTAAGGCGCCTGGACCTGATGATTTCCAAGGTTTGTTCTTCCAATCCTGTTGGGACATTATTTTGCTAAGGTCAATGGTATTGTTGCCGATTGTCTAGGGGGTGATGGATGTCCCTCTATTATCAACTCCACCAATATTGCTTTGATTCCTAAGGTCCTCATCCCAGAGGGGGTCAATCAGTTCAAGCCAATAAGTCTGTGTAATTATTCTTATAAGGTTCTGTCTAAGATTTTGGCGAATCATTTGAAACCAATGTTGGATAAAATAATTTCGCCAAATCAAGATGTGTTCATACAAGGCCAACAAATACAAGATAATATCATCTTGGCCCATGAAATTTTTCATTTCCTTAAGTTAAGGAAAATGAAGACCCAGTTTGAAATGGGGATCAAACTTGATATGAACAAGGCTTATGATCGGGTTGAATGGGACTTCCTGGAGGCAATTATGGTGCATCTCGGTTTCCAGTGAAGGTGGATTGATATGGCTATGCGGTGCGTAAAAACTGTGGAGTTTTCTATTCTAATCAATGGGAGGTCGGGGAAAGCCTTTAAACCAATAAGGGGCCTTCGTCAGGGGGATCCCATATCCCCCTACTTGTTTCTCATTATCAGTGAGGTTCTTTCCTTGGTAATCAGTAGGGCGGTGCAGCAAGGATATTTGGAAGGCATCAGGATATCTGCTTCCAGACCAGTTCTATCACATATATTGTTTATGGATGATACTCTAATATTTCTTTTGGCTACCAAGCAGAATTGCAGGAATTTATCTTCCCTTCTTCATGTGTATTGTATAGCTTCCGGGCAGCATATGTGCCTTTAGAAATCGGTGGTTTATTTTGGGGTTAATACCCCGGCTCAATTGGCTTCGGAGCTTTGTAACATCTTAGAAATGCCAAAGGTGGATGACCCAGGAAAGTATTTGGGTTTACCAACAATTTGGGGGAGATTGAAGTGGGACACCTTACAGCTTATCAAGGATCGGATATTGGCAACGATTGCAGGTTGGAAGTGGCAGTTTCTTTATCAAGTGAGGAAGGAAGTTCTCATTAAAGCAGTGGTCTAGGCTATTCCTATGTACCCAATGTGCGTCTTCTTACTGTCGGTGAGCTTGTGCAACGAAATTGATGCAGCAGTGGCGAGGTTTTGATGGGCGGGGGCAAACAAAGATCGTGGGATACATTGGGTAAATTGGAATGACTTAGGTCGGACAAAAAAGAAAGGTGGTATAGGTTTTTGTAATCTTATTGATTTTAATATTGCCCTATTAGTGAAGCAATGCTGGCGTTTGATCCATGATCATGACTCCCTGTGGGCTCATGTATTGAAAGAGCATACTTCCCAAATGTTTCTTTCCTAGAGGCTAAGAAGGGCGGAAAGGCCTCTTGGGCATGGGCGAGCCTGTTAGAGGGGAATGATCTCATTCTAAAGGGTGCTAGATGGCAGATTATGGGAAGGCAGAAAGTTCTGTTTTAGGAAGACAATTAGGTCCCGGGCATCTCAGGGGAGCACCCTACCCCTGTTAGTTACTCGGGTATCAATAGGGAGAGCAAGGTTGCGGAGTTCATAGATCCGGTCTCGAGGAAATGGAAATTTGACCTTCTTTCCAACCTTATCTCAGAGAATGAGCATGGTGTCATCTCTTAAATTCATGTGAGGCCGCTTATGAGACCAGATAAACTTGTATGGCCGTTTAAACGAAATGGCTCTTTTTCAGTCAAGTCAGGATATTAGACGTGTCACAATCGTCACCCCACTATGAGTCGTGATCGGTCCTTTCCTTTTCCCGAAGTGTTGATCCTCGGGTTTGGACTTGGATTTGGAGTTGTAAAGCCCTCCCTAAAGATGAGAAATTTTCTTTGGAAGGCTCTCTGGGACACTTACGCCACTAAATTCAATCTTTTTCGATGTAGGTGTGTCGTATCCCCCTCTGCCTCATCTGTGTTGAAAGTGAGGAGACCATTGAGCATATTCTCCTTTTGTGCTCATGGGCTTCCAGGGTGTGGAATAGGGGTCTTTTGTGTATTCAAATTAATCGAAGTTCAATCACTACTCTAACGGATTGGTTGTGTTTGGTTGTCAATCAAAATCTAGGTTGTAAGGATGACCTCGATCGAACTATGGTGTACTTGGTTTTTTCGTGTTAGTTTATCTGGAGGGCCCTTTGTGATGCCGTTTTCAACGGAGTTAATCCATTTCCCTTCAGAACTATTCGGGCTATCACCACTGCCTTGGATTCTTTTAAGTTGGCCTCATCTCATTTGCGTATGTCTCCTGTTATCCAAAGCAGTCTTTCTTGAGGTATGCATCGCCTCGATCTGTGGTCTACTCCCCCAGTTAATTGGGTTAAGGTTAATGTTGATGCTTATTGGAAGAGAGACTCTCACTAAGGTCATATCAGGATTGTGGTTAGAGATTGTTTCTTGAGTTGCACGGCGGTGAGAAGTGTCTGGGTGCATGTGTCTTCAATTGTGATGGCAGAAGCTTTAGCTGCTCTGGAATGATGCTTATTGGCAAAAAGTTTACAAGTGCAGAAGGTGGTAATTGAGTCAGATGCACAAGTTATTATGTGGTCCCTCAATTCTCCTTCTCTGAGTTGTGATTGGGACCTACTCCCAATTCTTAGTTGTGTTTTGGGGGTTGGGAGGAGTTTTCAATCATGCTCCTGGTTGTGGACTCCACAATCAGCAAATATGGCAGTGAATTTTGTTGCAAGGTATATTTCTCTGGACATGTACGACTTCGGCTAGGTTGTAAGACCACCATCTTTGTTAGTAGGCATTTTGAACAAAGACAGTCTTCCATGTCCTCCTTTGTAAAGGTGGGGTGTTCTTTGCACTGATAGGTAGGACGACGCTGGTGCCCGGAGTGGTGGCGTCTATTGGTGTCCTAATTATCCTTGCCTCTATATATCTAATCTTGCGAGGATGCTCTCTGCTTGTTATTTGGCCTTGTGCCTTTCTGTTTTCTATGAAGTAATCCTTTAACAAAAAAAAAAAAAGGATGAATTGGAATAGAATTTGAGATAGATGAGGAAGAGATTGAATTTTGAAAACAACATATTCAATCAATAAGATGTTAAGAGAAATTAATCATTTACAAATTTAATAAAAATTGAAAAGAAAACTAAAATAAGAAACTGACTAGTAATGAACATATATATATATATACCTTCTTCCTTTTACGTCCTCTCCTCCGCCCATATTCTCCCATGCCACTCATTTCTAAAGTAATAACAACTTCCATCTAGTTTTTTCAAGTCTCATTCTCAATTGACTTTTCACTTCCCACTCTCTTCTTATCCCCTTCCTTCTCCCTCTAAAATATAAAAACCCACTCTCAGCTTCTAAGTTGGTAACCATGATAAAATGAAAAACCTAATTGTAAAGAATATATATGCCACTCTATGTATTCATAATGATAGCTGGGAGGTACTTAGATGAGGTTGGACGATGAAGCCTATGTTGGGTGTTCACTTGTTTCACGTGAACATACAAAGAAGATGGTCGGTGGTTACATAAAAGTAAAAGCTAATCAAAACAATGTATGCCCATGCATTAATTACCTTGTCAGTTCACGTGATGGTGGTTATAAAATTGGTTTAGCCATAGACAAAACGGTCACCAGTTTCACATGAAATGGCAGAGAATAGTAGTTACGAAAATCAAATATCTTTCACTTGTTTCACGTGAACATATAGAGAAGGCAGACAATAGTTATGTAAAGTAAATATAACTAAAACAATTTACGACACACATTAAATTTCATGTCTGCTTAAAAAGAAGGTCATGTGGTCGACGTGACCACTTTTAACGGTAGAATGGATGAAAAATATACGGATGGACCAAATTGATTTGTTTCACTCAATCTCATGTGACCAATTTTAACACTAAAATAGACGAAAAATAGACGAATGGACCAAATTAATTTGTGTCAACCAATTTTTAGGACGAGATTGATTGATTTTTAACTTCAACACCAAAATGAAGAGTTAACACTTTTAACGCTAAAATGGATGAAAAGTAGACGGATGAAACAAATTGATTTGTGTTCTTCCTAAAAATGACAAGACCTACGTGGTGCACATGTCAAGCAACTACTAAGGTAACTACGTCCTTCTTGTTAATGCCCAACTCACAAGCGAGCTCAGTTTGGCAAGTAGAATAGATGTGGCAGTGGTGGTATCGTATGCGCTATTGACTTTTGCACTTGGCGACTATGAAGTTCAGACAAGGTTGCTATATTCACTGCGAAATTCAGGATCTTCTGGATCAGGTTTAGCAACTTCAGCTATATTCATGAGAATATAAGTGCACTGATTGGATATTAGGTTGTGCGAGAAAAGATACTCAAAAAAGATGAGTGCCTTCATGGTGAACATGGTTCGGGCATTTAAGTGCCAAACTATGAAGTGCACATGGGAGTAACCGATCATGAACACCTCACTTCGCTGGAGAGCTAATGAATTGACCTCTTAGACAAAAGAATAGAAAACCCTTTGCCGACAGAGACTTAGATAGAGAACCAACCAACTAGAAGCAGTGTTATTAATCTAAACTGAAGATGCTCCTAAATCGCTGATTCTACAGCTTCAGTGTGGTTAATCCAAATTTTTGTGCTTAAAACTGTTGAGCAATTTTGGAAGTTAGCAATATAATTTAACATGGGAGTGCTCTTAACTAAAATTTGGGTGCTGATAAATCACCCTCTGTTTAACTACTGACAAATAATTTACTGGTTTCATAAAGCATGCATAAAATTAGAGAGTCGTTACAATAATATTTATAAAAATCAAAAGCTCATTGAAACAACTTATGATACATGTATTATTTGTTATGTTATTTTTCGTGACGGATTATTTCAAATATATATATATATATATATATTTTTTTAAATAACGAATACATAGACGTATTTAATGAAAAAAGTTAAGCGATAAAACCAATAAAGAGATAAGAGTTAAAATCTAAACTTAGGTGAAAATTCAAAGTACCAATTCTATATTTTAGTATTTAAAAATTGAAGACATGCATGGTATTTGTTATTTTAAATAGGAAGTTACTATTTAACCTGGTTTTATCAAAGGTTGTCTATTGTAAAAAGGGATAAAAGAGGTCAAATTCAATATTAATTTTCTTGTCAGTTCATGTTATGCCCTGATTTAGCCACAAACAAAACATTCACTAATTTCATGTGAAATGGCAAAAAAGAACACACATATATAGCAGTTACGAAATTCAAATATCATTGACTTGTTTCATGTGAACATACAAAGAAGATGGTTACATAAAGTAAAATATAACTGAAACAATTTACGATACATGTACTAAATTTCATGTCCGCTCAAGCGCTCATGTGATGTTGGTAATAATTTAGGGAACAAATTGTTCTTCATTTTTTCAGGGAACAAATATTACACACTCAATGACATAGTTGCAATAATTTTATAGTGATCTTTACAATTACATAATAATCTTAGATGATATCTTTGTAGTCTTACATTAATAATTAATCTCTATGCTAAATCTCGGTGTAGTTCAAGGCTAACCAGTGACAAAGGCTCGATATAGAGCAAAACCAACTAGTCTGCTTAGTGTGCTTTATGGTACCTATACTAACCGACGGTTTATGTATATGTCCAAATACATAAGCTTTGACATCACCTTAAAGCCATCCAAACATCCGGAATTAATTGGAGAGAACTACATAAGATAATATACAAAATAACCATAAAATGAGAGCTAATTTCTCAAATTAGGATGTTTACAAATTAGTTAACTGTATGTTAACATTCCACGGCGAAAGAGCCAATGCCATTGACCTAATCGGAAGAAGCGTAGACAATTATATGCTGCAGGGGATTCGCCACTTTGTTTCCACCGGCATGCTCGAAAAAATCCAGCCGGGGAGTGTAAAAGGCCATGGCAAACGCACAGAATATTTACCTGGCCATCTCTGGTTTAAAGAATCCTTCAAACTATATCCTGCCTACTCCAAAGGAAAGACATGTTTTGATGATCTTATATGAGAAGGCAGTGTCTCAACATTTCCTATTCCTGCAAAGAATTTACACAAGTCAAAATCTTTGAAGAAGGTTAAATATTGTCAAAGCAAGTTAAATGCGTTATACTAATCTTCTTCTACAACAAGCGTTTGAAACATCCTAAAGGGTCAAAATAACCAAAAGACCGATATTTTATGGACAAAGGATGAGTTGAAAAAGAATTTGAGACAGAACAACTAGATTCAATCAATAAGATGTCAAGAGAAATTAGTCATTTGACAAATTTAATAAAAATTGAAATGAAAATTAATCAAGCAACTAACAAGTAATGAATATATACCTTCTTCCTTTACATCCTCTCTTTGGTCCATTTTCTCCCATGCCACTCATTTCTATAGTAAAGTAATAACAAGTTCCATCTAGTTTTTTCAAGTCCCTCTCAATCTCAATTGTACTATTCACTTCCCACTTTCTTCTCCTCCCCTTCTTCTCCCTCTAAAATATAAAAACCCACTCTCAGCTTCTAAGTTGGTAACCATGATCGAATGCGAAAACTAATTGTGAAGAATATATCTATCACTCTATGTATTCATAAAGAAAGGTGGGAGGTGCTTATAGAAAGTTGGACGATAAAACCTATGTTGGGTGTTCACTTGTTTCACGTGAACATACAAAGAAGGTGGTCGATGGTTACTCAAAAGTAAAAGCTAATCAAAACACTGTATGTCCACGTATTAATTACCTTGTCAGTTCACGTGATGGTGGTTATAAAGTTGGTTTAGCCACAGACAAAACATTCACCAGTTTCACATGAAATGGCAGAGAATATCACACATATATATCAACTACAAAATTCAAATATCTTTCACTTGTTTCACGTCAACATACAAAGAAAGTAGACGATTATTACATAAAGTAAAATATAACTGAAACAATTTACGACATACGTATTAAATTTCATGTCCACTAAAGCACCCAAGTGATGTTGGTAATAAAGTTGGGTTAGCCATAGACAAAATGTTCATCAACTTCGCGTGAAATGACTGATGATGTCTCACATGCACATAACCGTTACAAAGTTCAAAGAGAACTATTATTGGCACTCTAAAATTCTAATTGTGCAATCGTTATAAAAGCAATTTTCTTTCTAATTTCAGAAAGTTTAATGTGCACAATTAGTATATTTTTCTAAAAGTCGCTGAACATGTAGGTGAATGGCTAACAGTTGGTCCCTCGGGGCAGAGGGATAATAACTTGGGTTTCAAGCTCAGTCTTTCAATTTATCAACTGTTGGTTATTAATGGTCCAGATCAACCTCTCTCTTTTTTTGGCAATCTTTTGAATTTGATCTAATTGATCAAATATTTTTTTTTTCAAATCCAACTATAAGTCACGGCTCAAATTTAAATCCAAAAACAGTCAAAATAATAAAATAAATTATGTTTTATATTTCCGAAGTTAATGTACATTGTTAAAATATTTAGCCCATTGCCACTCACAATTTGGTCAATTGTTCCTCATTTTTTAGGGAACAAATATTACATACTAAATGACATAATACCAATAATTTTCACTGTGTCTAGAATATAGTGATCTTTACAACTACATAATAATTCAAGATAATATCTTTGTAGTCTTACATTAATAATTAATAACTATGCTAAATGTCGGATATAGCGCAAGGCCAACCAGCTACAAAGGCTCGATGTAGAGCAAACTAACAAATTATAAGGAGACCAGAAGTTTGCTTGATGTGCTTTATGGTACCTATACTAAACAATAGTTTATCTATATGCCAAATACATAAGCTTTGACATCACCTTAAAGCCATCCAAACATCCACAGTTAAATTGGAGAGGACTATATATAAGATAATATACAAAATAATCCATAAAATGAGAGCTAATTGCTCAAATTAGGGTGTTTACATATTAGTTAACTATATGTTAACATTCCAAGGTGACGGAGCCAACGCCATTGACCTAATCAGAAGAAAAGCAGACAATTATGTGCTGCAAGGGATTTGCCACTTTGTTTCCACCGGCTTGCTTGAAAAATCCAACCGGAGAGTGTAAAAGGCCATGGCAAACACATAGAATGTTTACCTTGCCATCTCTGACATAAAGAATCCCTTCAATCTATATCTTGCCTGCTCCGAAGGGAGGAAATGTTTTGATGTCCTTACATGAGAAGGCAGTGTCTCAACATTTTCTTCTCCTGCAAAGAATTTTCCGAGTCAAAATCTTTGAAGAAAGTTAAATATTGTGAAAACAAGTTAAATACTTTATACTAATCTTCTTCTACAATGAGCATTCAAAACATGCTAAAGTGTCAAAATAACCAGAAAACCGATATTCTATGAACAAATGATGAGTTGGAAAATAATTTGAGACAGACAAGGAAGACATTGAATTTTGAAAGCAACACATTCAATCAATAAGATGTTAAGAGAAATTAATCATTTGACAAATTAAATAAAAATTAAAAAGAAAAATAAATTAAGCAACTAACAAGTAATGAATATACACACACACACACACACATACCTTCTTCCATTTACGCCCTCTCCTCAGTCCATTTTCTCCCATGCCACTCATTTCTATAGTAAAGAAATAATAAGCTCCATTTAGTTTTTTTCAAGTCTCTCTCAGTCTCAATTGCAGTATTCACTTCCCACTCTCTTCTTTTTCCCTTCTTCCTCCCTCTAAAATATAAAAATCCACTCTCAACTTCTAAGTTAGTAACCATGATCAAATGAAAAAACTAATTGTGAAGAATTTATCTATCACTTTATGTATTCATAAAGAAAGTTGGGAGGTACTTATAGAAAGTTGGATGATGAAACCTATGCTGGGTGTTAACTTGTTTCACGTGAATATACAAAGAAGGCAGGAGGTGGTTACATAAAACTAATGTATTAATTACCTTTTTAGTTCATGTGATAAGATCATCTAGCTAGAAAAAAAAATTTCTTTATATTTTTAAGGGTTTTTTTTTTTTATCAAAATGATCCCCGAAATTGGTACAACTCCTCATTTGCGTCCTTGAAGTTAAAAATCAATCAATCTTATCCCTAAAATTGGTTGCCGCAAATCAATTTGAATCTTCAATGTAATTTCCATCCATTTTAACGTTAAAAGTGGTCACGTAGGCCCACATGAACACTTTTACGTGACCACTTTTTGAGATATAAAATGTCAAAACACGCCACCCAGCTTATCATTTGACCACTCTATTATTTTGTCATTCACCCCAACCTTTTTTTTTTTGTTGAATTCGACACTCCACCTCTACTTAGGAAAAATCCATCTCTCTCAGTTGCACCAATCTCTCTTTATCCTGTACCAACTAGTTGAGTGATGTTGGAAATTTTGAGTAGAAATTTCATTGTCCCACATTGGCCATTCCCAAAAGGTTTCCTCACTTTATAAGGCTTTTGTCCCTTATAGACAGTGATTTGAGTGATAGGCCTTAGAGAATAAAATTGGGATCACCCTTGGGGTTCGGCTTTGAGGTGTAGTAATTAATATATAATTAATTATCAAAAGATGGGGCTCGGGCTCCAATAATTAGATTAATTAATTATTTTTAATTAATTTCAAATTTAATTAATTATTTATTTTTTACCAACATACTTCATCTGAAAAGATGAGTCTGAAATGTGGTGAAAGAACGCAGAAAACAAACACCCCTCCGAGAAGATATTGAAGGAAGATTTGTGAAAAACATGTTCATTTAAACAACATCAATAGCATGCAATTAACAATTAAAGGCAGAATCATGCTTGTATGCACTTAAAACAAAACATTTACCCATGAAATTCAAAGCCTAGTAGATAGGTGAACCAAGACTCAACTCAAAACAAAGTGAGTTGAGAAATCAATACCTTTGTAGATTCCTCTTTGCATAAGCAAAGGCTAATCACCCAAAGAGAGGGCCTTCATTCCTTGGATCTTAGATCCATGGATTTGGATGGATGAAAAGGTTTCTCCAAATTCCCAAAATTGAGAACCTGTAATGATTCATCACCAAGGCATAATGAAGAAGAAAATGAGTGACCTTGGAGGAGTTTGATTGCTAGATGATCCCTCCAAGGTGGCCGAAATATTTGAGAGAAAGGAGAGCTTGTGTTCTCATCCTTTCCCCAAAAATAACCCTTGGTAAATTTTAGGCTATAAAGTCCTTTATATAGTCCCTTCAAATAAGTGACCTAATGGACCAAAAGCCCTATTCTTTTACACATGGCCGGCCTATAGGTTTATTGGGCTTTCAAGCCCTTTGTTTTATTCAAGTTGTCATACAACTTGAGTTAATGGGCTTGACATTCAAATCCCATTGGGCCTTGCGGCCCAAAACTAACCCGAAGTCTTTAACGAACTTATTCGTTTGATTAATTAACATATTAATTAATCCTAGCCTTAGATAAATAATTAAACCATTTAATTATTCTTACTCATCTCCGTTGTTTCTTCAAACTCTACCTTACTCGGTGAACGATCCATTAGGTTCCTTTTAGCGAGGCAGTGGGCGATTAAAACTCTTTCTAATCGATTGTGAATTGAAACTTACTTTCAATTCTCCCGTTAGTGATAATACACTTTTAGGGCTTCCACAAACCATGGTTGACGCCTAGCAGCATGTCATGGTTACCCAAGCTAATCAGAAGAGGTGGAGAACCTATTCAGTTTAGGATTACAAATGCAATACGGTCTTTCTCTAATACAATACTCTTGACCACATTGTTTGGTTTGATAGTTTATTCATGTCTACTATCCAATGTGAATCTTGTACTTATATGATTACCTTGAATGTGATCTGGAACGCATTCCAACATCTCATTCATACTCTGACCAGAGATTCTAAATCATATCATAGAGTATTCTCCCTCAAACAGTTTGAAGGTTAGAGATCCCTTGTTACGCATTCACTTGCCTCCATGGCTAAGTGGCTTAACCCCAACGATGCCATGGACACCCTCATGATGGAGTGACTTTGACATAACCAAAGATTAAGGACCTAACCACAAGACAACTGTGATGCCTCATGTCAAAAGACTAATTTGCATTATCCCAACCATGAGTTCTCATGTGACATGAATATGAAAACTCTTTGTTGATCGTGTTCAGTGAACTCATTCTCTATTGAGCACCTACGTACTTGTCTTGATGTCACACACACCAATGACTCGAGACTAGTCACTCTCCCTGAGAGAAGACATAGCACGTACTGATCTTAACGGACTGTTAATGCCCAATTGACAATCCTATGATCAGGAACGTTTAGGATGTGTCAACGAAGGAATGGTCTCATGAATCTAACTTCTTTAGATCGCATTCTTCCAATCACATATTCCTTGGACTTATCGTTTAAGCATATAACATTTATATGAGACGGCTCAAACAATAATGTTTGCCCTTAATATTAAACTAGATTAGTTTAACATGTGAAATGTCCATAAAGTATCATCATATGATTGGTTTTAGGGCACATTTCCAACAAATATCTACCAACAGATGCATCCCTTCCTCATACCTGTTGCAAACAAGCATAATCATATTATATATACATCCATCTGCATGACATTTAGAACATAGAAAATATCAAATTCTTCTTCTGCATTCCTAAACTTTCTTACTGAGAGAACCACAAAAAATTCACCAGAAGTTGATTTTTCCGGTGCTGGAATTCTAACTTGATCGTTGAATCCTAGGGAAGCAGACGTCCGTAGAACTACAAGCACTGAGTAGGGAAGAAATTTTTGTTTCAAGGATATTGCGGTACACAAGCCTTGATCTTCAAGTTGTTTATTTTTATATTTTTGTTTTGTTCATACTCTATTTATTTTTTTATTCACATTTATTATTTATATATATAATTTTATCACAGATTGTTGACATATATCCAACAAGTGGAAACAAATTATTTTTAGGGTCACTATAAATACAAACCCACAACGATTTAGCCATACTACCTAGACGAATTGAAGGGCAAAAAGAGAAATTTGAGGTTTGAAAAAAGCATACAATTTGGAAATCATGAGGGTGACGTTTGGAGGTAAAATTAGCGTAAAGAGAAGATGAGGAGAAACACAGTTAAGGAGGTCATGGTTGTATAGGCGAAAGCTCCTTACACCCATCTTCTTCTCTTCAACTTCAATTCCCATTGATTTGGTGCAGAATGTCTTGATTTAGTGCATGATCAAGAAAGGTAAAGGTAGAAAACTAAAAACTACAAGTCCAAAGTAAGCTATCTCTTGCTCCGTGAGCTTCAAAACCTATATCCAGAAGAAACCCAACCCCAATTTCAAAGTTTCAACCATTGCCCCTTGCTCTTGCTTAGGGTGGGCGGTAACCCACTACTCCTTCCTTTTTTCCTCTTCATTTCCTCTCATCTCCTCTTCTTTGCCCTATCCTTCTTTTCCTCCATTCTCATCTCCTCTACCCATTCCTCCTCCCTGCATCCCACCTCATTTTCCTTCCTATTTTCCAGTCTTCTCCTTCGTTTTTATTATCGGTTCTCCCTTAGTTTTATCTCAGTTTTCTTTGAACTGAGTTTCAACTCTCCCCTGAGCTTGTCTCATATTTGGACTTCGTGCCCCATATCCAGTCTTTTTCGCCTACTTTTACTGCTTTCTGTCTTTTAATTTTTCTTCCTCCCTCATCATTTTATGTTTGGATCAGCAGTACTCCAAACAAAATTGGATACTAGATCCACTTCCCTCATGTACTCATCTCCCTAACCAGCATGTCGAATCCCCATTGAGGCCAAGAGTTCTATGTCCTCTGCCACAGTAAGGGTATTTTACATACCTCTTTAGTCTCACTCTCTACCCATAAGATACTTTATTTGTATATATTTGCAAGGGTTCACGAAGAGGACTTGGATTTGGTGTCTACTTTCTCAATTCAGAATTTGGCTTCCTCTAAGGATGTGACAATAGCAACAATCTGGTTTATGCTACTTAAGATTATGGTTTTTTGTTGTTTGTTTTTGCAACCTTCGAGCCTAAACTTATGTGGGCCTCCCGTTGTATCTTGGGTTGCAGCTCTCATTTTTCTTGGGCCTTTTACTTTATTGGTTGTTGTTTACTAGGCTCTTTTTAGGCCTTGTACTAGTTTTAATGTAATGGATGTTTTCTTGCTTGGTCAAAAAAGAAAAAATGAGAGATTGTCAAAGGTGGGGCCAGCTAACGGTGATTGGGTTAGGCAGGGTAAAGATTTATTTCGTTGGCTTTTTTCTTTCTTGTTTTCTTTTTTACTTTTGCCCTTAAAAAGTGATTATGTGGCCAATGTGACCACTTGTAATGCTAAAATGGACAAAAAATAGACGGATGGACCAAATTGATTTGTGTCAACCAACTTCCAGGATGAGATTAATTGATTTTTAACTTCAGGACCAAGATGTGTGTTGGTCCTAAAAATTTCAAGACCTACATGGCGCGCAAGCCCAACAACTACATCTTTCTTGTTAACATGGGCATGCCAACTCACAATTGAGCTCTGTTGGGTGAGTCGAATAGATGTTGTGGTGGTGGTGGTCAAATGCACTGCTAACTTCTGCACTCAAGCGACTATGGCCTAGGTAGGAACACCTCTCAACCTAGGGTTCTAGAACTTGAAGACAAGGTCGCTTAATTTATTGCAAAGTTCAGGATCTTCTACACTAGGTTCGACAACTTCAACTGCATTCGTGAGAATATAAATGCACTGAATCAATGTGAGGTTGTACGAGAAAATATACTCAAAGAGATGAATGTCTTTATGATAAACGTGGTTTAGGCATTTGAGTGTTGAACTATAAAGTGCACTTGTGAGTAATTGATCATAGAAAACCTCACTTAGTTAGGTAGCTAATGAAGTGACCTCTTTATGAAAGAATTGAAAACCTTTTGCTAGGCGAGAATTGGATGGATAACCTACCAACCAGAAGTAGTGTTGTTAATCCAAAATAAAGATGTCATTGGTTGTCAATGGAGTGCTATTTATCCAAACTAAAGATGTGTTGATGAGGGGGTTAGGATAATTAGTATTTTTTCAGGGTAGTGAGAAGGGTTTCACATAGAGTGTGTTTTTCTGCTTTCATCATTTTGAGTTGTTTGTTGAGTTGAAGAGATTATCTACGTTGCAAAACCTCATATTTATAAAGGTGAATTTCATGATGGCCAAGTCTACCGAGTTACAAAATTCTAATAAAATTCCAAGTCCTCAACATATTCTCTAAATAGACTCGGAATTAATCTCAGTAAAAACTATATCACCACCAAGTCTCATTGTCTTTGACTAGGACTCTGAAACTAGATTGATATGCGAATGATTCAACCTTTATCTGAAAACCAAATTGATCCTTAGTATTTTGCTCATCTAACATCCTAGAGTATATGGGTTGAACAAGTGCAAAAGCAAGTGGAAATTCGATTTGCATGTCTACAACAGGTCCAAACAAGTTAAGTAAACCAATTTCCAGGATAAGACTGATTGATTTTTAATTTCATGATCAAAATGAGAAGTTATGCTAATTTTAAAAAACATTAATCATAAAACCCAAATCAAATGGGATATTTTGGATATATGTACATACCCTAGCTAGTCTCGTTTATAGTATTCAAAGTTCTTTCTTTCTTTTTTTTTTTTTTTGAACAAACAATATTATTTACAAAAGGAATGAGATATATGTACATGCCCTAACTAGTCTCGTTTATAGATTTAATTTTCTTTTGATAAGAATCGAATTTAAACCTAAAGACTAAGTGACAGTTGTACATAATTCGCTACAAGCCCAACTGTCTATGGAGATATTTGGGGTGGGACAATGACACCACTAGGCTGACCCTCCCCAAAGAAGTCACGAAATTTCCCAGAATTGTAGAATGTTATGATCCTCTCTCTTCCCTTTACCAATTACCGCGCATAAATACAATATAGTCTCCACTCTCTCGCAGAAAGAATCAACGCCACCAGCCACCACTGCCCTTGGCATTGCACATCAAACTCAGAACACAGAAGGTATGTATGTCTCTCAGATCTCAGATCCTGTCTTTTACTTCAATTTATGTTTTTTATTAGATCTTGCAGAATCGTTTTTTCTTATTTGCATGTGTTGATATTTTTCTGTATTGGTTGTCTATTTCGTTTTTGGTTTACTGTGTTCTGGGTTTTTATCAATTGAATTGCTCTAACTCCCTACTTCTTAGAATCCATTTTGTTCAATTGCCTGTGGTGGGTTTCTTTGGTTGTTCTTTGAAGGGTTTTTTTCCCAACAAGATCTGGGGGTAACAAATTTTTTGATGCCAGGAGGATTGTGGGGTTGGGTTCAAATGCTGTGTTTAATTTGCAGCTGTTTTTCATTTTTCATTTTCTTCATTTGATTAGAATCCTATCTGCATTCAATTTTCGAGGGTAGGAAGTAGAAGTCTAATGTACTTAGTATTCAGAAGGTGTCTTACTGTGCCTGTAGAATCGGCTATTTGAGGTTAGAAGCTATCCGAAGGTGTAAGGGTATAAGTGAATGAAGCCTTCTTTCAAGGTGAGAAACCTTTGTAATGTTTTAGGTGTACAAATTTCGTAATGGATTAAAAAATGAAAAGAAGAATTTGACCATATAATTATTTGGTGGGAGTTAGACGTCCTTAGAGCTATACAAAAATCTCGAACTAGTTATGAATACGCGTTAAGAAATATTGGACATAAATTGAAACACTACAACACAACAACAACAACCAAGCCTTATCCCACTAAGTGGGGTTGGCTGTATGAATCCTAGAACGCCATTGTGCTGTATTTTGCCCCAAGGAGGGATGAAACACTAGAACACAACTAACATAAATAATGGCTATGAATTCTAGTGCTCCATACCATCATATCCTAACTCATAATTTTGTGAGAGTTGCATTATCATATGTTTCTTAATTACCTTTAACCATATTATTTTGATTTTCCTCTTTCCCTGGCACCAAATTATTGGTTAAGTCACTTTGATGCATCTATTGGGGCACTTATTGATCTTTGTTAAGCATGTCAAAACCACCGTGATAAGTTCTCTCTCATTTTGTGTTCAATTGGTGCTATTTTAATTTTTTTCTCTATGATCATTCAAATTGTTTCCCTGTCTCCAGACACGTCCATTTGAAGATCCTACTTCTGGCAGTGTCACATTTCGTTTCAGGGTATTGATATCGGCCCTCCAAAAATCACTCAAACACAAAACACACCCTATTTACTACACCCTAGACCAAAAAGGAATATATGGATCATCATATATCAGTTTCCTTAAGAATACCTTATGACTAGAAGTTTCTATCATCTCAAGCTCATGGCAATCATAGGCGACACCAACCTTGTGTCATCCTGCATCTTAATCTCACAGTTGTCTGATACTATTAATCGAGTTCCTTCATGTGACATTTAAAATTTTCACCTACGAATGCGCGTGTTTGGAACTTGACCAGGTTATTTTCAAAATCCAAGTGTTTGGGTGTATTTTTCCAACCTTTTAAGCAAAAGTGATAACCTCTTGCTCAGCAGTTAGCATTGCTACAAACGATGAGTTCAATACCTTGTCCCTTTGTGTGGCTTACCTCAAACATCGTTGTATCAAAAAGCACTACTACCAATGATAAGAACTGGTTATGTACTCCATTTAATAATAATATTCCAAGTCCTTGATTAACCTTAGCTGAGGTCTGACAACATTATGGATTATGTATTTTTAGTTACCGACTGATCATACAAATGTACTTGACCAAACCTTCAGAGAAACAGTTCTTAATTTTGTCATGAGTGCTCACACATAAAGAAGAAGCATTGTGCTGAATCAGTGCGCAGTTTTTCACACTCTATTCTACATTGCTTATTCGGTACTTTGTGGTTGTGTTTTCTTATCATAATTATTACAACATGAGAACAATACTCACTCTTCAAAAGTCGAGAATACCGCTTTGATCTCTTATACAACATTGGCATAGTGTGCAAGTCCCCAGTTTCTATTGCTTCGATTACCTGGTCTGTTGCATTCCTTGGATACAGAATTTACTTGTTCTCAATGACTACAAAAAGTCTTATAATTGAAAAAACAATTTCCACCTTTCTGTTCTTCGTTTTTGCTTCCATCTATATTCTTCTCTTTAAGTGGTGTGCAATTTATTAATCTATCCTCTAGAATATGATAAATTTATGGTTCTATCTTTGATGTAAATTGCAGATTTTAACTCTGCAGTCGGTGTCAGCTTGCAAGTCTAAGTATGAGCTTGGCATGCCTTGTGTGCAGCGCAGAAAGTCCATCACACTCTTTTAGGAGTTGCTCTGTATCAAGCACAGAAAACGATGGAAGATGTTCTGCTATTGCCAACTGCTTAACACGGAGGCCATCTCTTCCGCTGCCAACACATTCCAACATTGCATCATCCAAAGTAACCCCGCAACCAACTCTTTCAAATGGTGGTTCCATACCAGGTACCCCAAGGCTAGTGCGAAGCCGGGCTGTGAGAAGGGATATCGTGAGAGACTGGAACTTTGACGAGGCTGTGATGGGGCGTTAGAGTTTTTCAGTTTGACTGGAGAGTAGAAGGCTCTTACCATGGTATAGTTGTGGGAGCCAATAATGCAGTCTATTTTTGTTAGTTATGGCTACATTGAACTCACTTTTCCCTCTGGGAGAGTTTGTGCATTTGTAACCATCCCAGAAAATCATTGCGTTTGTTTATAATTTGACCCTTTTCGTACTCTTTTTGCAGTTCAGTCGTATTGAAAACCATTTAATTATGAAACCATAATCAAACATACTAACAAATGATGTGTTTTCGACTTCCAAAAGAAACCTGGAAGAATTTAAGTACCAATAGTTCGGACATGCTGCTGGTCTCAAAAACTAAGATCCACTGGTTAAAATGTGTCTGGATTATCTGATACTCCGCAGCACTACAGATCTTTTGCCTTTTTATCAAGGATGAATTCCTCGTTATACGGAAGAATCCCTCCCATTCCACGCTATGAAAACAACTGAAAACATGTCTCAAGAGATTTTGGGGAAAAGGAGTGATGATGAAGGGCAATGGGAGAGAATGAAAACAAAATATTGAGAGTGAAAGCAACTGAAAATCAGGGGTGGCCCAACAGGATTTTAGACCTGTGGATTCGGACCATGGTACTCGGCTCGATGTAAAACCATTTGGTTCTTACTTTTAATTTTTAAAAGGTCCAAATGGGATCCGGCTTGTGTAAAAATGAGTTCAAAGCGAGTCCATATTTTTTATGTGTCGGTAATCTGACCTAAACTGTTAAGAATTGTCTTAACACTTGTCAGGTTTCTTTGTGGTCCACATGAAACGCATGATCCATGATTTTATGTCCCTCTAACCCTGAAAATAAGTAAAACAACAATTGTTGTTATTTGTTTTGTTAGATGTAATCCTTCCTGAAAGAAACGGATAGAGATTGTTTAATATTGTTGTTTTGTTACGTGACCTAAGATTGGAAAAGGATCCGTTAATCCATAGGAATCAGGACCGTATCAAACGGATCCAAATGAGCTAATTCCACTAATAAATACTTAAGCTCGGACTCGATTATATTAAAAAAAAAAAGTCGAATCAAGATCCATAAAAAATTAGACCCAGCTCAACCCGCACCCACTACTAAAATCGTTCGTTTTTATAATTTCCTTGTGCGTTTCTTCTACAACATTCCTCTCCTGCTTCTGTTTCCCTCTCTAAAAATTTAAAACCGCAAATTACAAACAAAATTGTTACCAAACAGGTCTTAGATACACGCACGTGCCCGGACGGTAGTGTATTCCAACGGCTGTAGTGTTTATAGTCCAACAGCTAATTTCAAAAGGAAGCTTCGGAGGAGCAGGACAATATTGATATAATAGTCCTTCTTCGGTTCCTCGGTGCAGATGCCCAATAACGCGCTTATACGGTTATACCTATTATTCATCAAACTTTAGAAAAATAATACAAGATATAGGATAAAAAAACGCTATTTTTATTACGTATTTATATTATTATTTGTATCATTTTTCTAATAAAAATGAAACTTATATGTGTTAGTGGATCATATCTCAACGAGAAAGATGGTAAATATGTAGTAAGTGTAGTATTATCATATAAAATTGTTCGTAGCAACATTATAAAAAAACACATACAGTTTCAATCGTATTTGCTTAAAAGTAAAATGTGTTTGTTATTTTCCATCCACATATTCTATTTCCTCAAACCATTATATGTTTAAATCATTCTCATATTTATTCAAAATGTGGGTAAAGAAATATAGCAAATGAGTGATAATAGTATATAATTCAAAGTAATTATAAGAATACAAACTGGTACTCGTGTCATATCTATCGTTATTTATCTTTATTTGTAATGAGAGGTTTGATATTTGACACATATGGATAATAAAGACATATTATACTTTTATTAAGTTCAATATCTAATTAGTGACTGATTGCGGCATAACTCAATTGTTAAATATTATATTGTTGAATAAATAAATAAATAATAATAAAATGTAACTAAGAGAGTGGATGACACCTAGTAATCATCCTAAAAGTAATAGTATTTTAAAGTGAATTTAATTGATTGATCATTCCTAGACATCTAAGTATGGGTTCGGTTTTCATCGATTTCTCCTAACCTTAATAACTAGAGGAATGATATTCATATCATGTTTTTGTATCACATTGTCATATCATTTTAGATGGCATTTGATGTGAAGAACCACATCATTTGAATTAATCAATTTTTTAAATTTAGTTCATTATTTAATAAACTAATAATGAAGAAAAACTAGTTAATTAAATCTTGATTATGGTATACGAGAAGTCTTTCTCCTTCATTTCCTTGGGTTTTGCAAATATTTCAAATGATATGGTTATCCACATCAGATGTCATCTAAGATGGTATAGAAATGTAGTATAAAAATATGCTATGAATAACATTACTCTAATAACTAACTAGTTAACCCGCTAACTGTATCGCTCTATTAAAAAAAATTGATTTTCTTTTGAGTTAAGTTTGTTTGAGAGTCACTAACACTACTAAGAAAATTAATTCTGAATTCGATTATTGACGTTGATGATCAATCAATAATGACCAAAAACGCTAAATGCCTCTCTGAATCTTTCTAATCATCAAAAAAGTGGACTGCACGAAACCAAGCCCCACTTCAAATTAAAGATTAAATTACCCGTACCAGTTGTACCGTTTGGGGGGTGGGTTTGTTTGGGCTGGGTTTGTCTGGGGGTTCCGGGTCTCCCATATACAATTGCAATTGCAGTGCGACCGAGAAGGAAAGCAAGAGGCATGGCAGTGAAGAGCATCCCCACAACGACAGCTTCTTCATCCGTATGCTCTGTTCCTACTCTCTTCTTCGCATTCACTCTCCTCTGCGCTCTCTCTCTTTCTCTCTTCTTCCTCTCCAATCCTTCACCTTCTTCCTCTCCTCCTCCTTCTTGCTCTTCTTTCATTTCCCAGAACGCCCCTTTCTCTCCCCAAAATTCCCTCAAAGTCTACGTAGCAGACCTCCCCAGATCCCTCAACTATGGCCTCCTCGAAAAATACTGGGCCTCCGGGCCCGATTCCCGCCTCCAAACCGATGTTGACCACCAAACCCCAGACACCCATTTGCCCAAAAACCTTGAATTTCCACCCTATCCCGAGAATCCATTGATCAAACAGTACAGCGCCGAGTACTGGATTTTGGGGACCTGATGACCCCTCAGGAGCACAGAACTGGGTCGTTTGCCAGCCGGGTTTTCGATGCCGCCGAAGCCGACGTTGTTTTCGTGCCCTTTTTCGCGACCTTGAGCGCCGAATTGCAGCTGGCTACGGCTAGAGGGGTGTTTAGGAAGAAGGCTGGGAATGAGGACTATGAGAGGCAGAGGCAAGTGGTGGACTTTGTGAAGAACACTGAGGCTTGGAAAAGGTCAGGTGGAAGAGACCATGTGTTTGTGCTTACTGGTATGTTAGTTTTTTAATTAAATTTTTTGTTGGGATTTAATTGCGGTGTTAAGTTCGATTTGTGCTAATGGGAATTAAGTAATTCCTGGGATTGTTCACTGGATTTGACGATTAGGTGTTGGTTTTGATGTGATTCTGTGATTATTTATGTGGGTCTGTAGATTTAAATGTGTTCTAATATTTTCAATGAATCTGTCTGCATTCTCCATTTGATCCTTGGAATTTGGAAAGTTTGGTCCTTTTATTAAGCCGTTGTGATTTTCGAAGTTTTCTTATTTTCTTGGATACCATTTGATCAGTTGGAGGTAACTCGGAGCACCGGTAAAATGTTAGAGAGCAATGTAAATGTAGTATATGCTGTAGCAGCTTTTGATTTAGCTCTGGGTTTGTAGGTTGTGTTAAAACTTGAAGCATTTTTGGCAGACCCGGTGGCAATGTGGCACGTTCGTGCAGAGATAGCCCCTGCAGGTTCTTCTCGTTGTAGATTTTGGAGGGTGGTACAGACTCGAATCCAAGTCATTAAATGGCAACTCATCAGATGTGATTCAGCACACACAAGTGTCACTACTCAAAGATGTCGTTGTGCCCTACACCCATCTGCTTCCTCGATTGCAACTGATAGAAAACAAGAAGCGTCCTACTCTACTTTATTTCAAGGGAGCTAAACATAGGCACCGGGTCAGTATGCAAGATTTGAATCTTTACTTCTCCTGTTGTATCTGACACATGATGTGATTTCAGTGCCTCTATGTTTTGACTGCTTGTCACTCATCACTTTGTAGATTGCACTTTCTTCTCCAATTTCATCGTTGAACTGACAGTGTTTAAACTGCATTTAGTCTTAAAGTAGTTTGTTTATATAGTTATTTGGCAAAACTCTTAAAGTTCCACCTGACACACTCTTTATATGTCGTAATGCATTGCGTACATCTCATGTCATTAATCGCAGGGGTTGTCGTAAAGTTTAACAATCATTATAAATGCTTTATATGATATAGGATACTATGTTTGTGACCTAATCTAGGATGGTATAAAGCTAACTTGTCTATGTTGTGTAATTATGTTTGTAACATAACTGGGTTCTCTGATAACAGGGGGGCTTAGTTCGAGAAAAATTGTGGGACTTGGTGGTTAACGAGCCAGATGTTATCATGGAAGAAGGCTTCCCTAACGCCACTGGGAGGGAGCAGTCTATAAAAGGGATGAGAACTTCAGAGTTTTGCTTGCACCCAGCTGGGGACACTCCCACTTCATGTCGGCTGTTTGATGCGATTCAAAGTCTTTGTATACCCGTTATTGTCAGCGACAACATAGAACTTCCTTTCGAAGGGATGGTAGATTATTCAGAGTTTTCAGTTTTCGTGGCAGTTGATGATGCATTGAAACCGAACTGGCTTTTGAGCCATCTTAGGACCTTTACTAGAGAGCAGAGGGATAGATTTCGTCGGAAAATGGCTCAGTTTCAGCCCATGTTTGAGTATGACAGTGGTCATCCTGGTGGCATCGGGCCAATTCCTCCCGACGGTGCAGTGAACCACGTGTGGAAGAAGATACATCAAAAGTTGCCAATGATTAAGGAATCAATCGTTCGTGAAAGGAGAAAACCACCCGGCGTTTCAGTTCCACGCCGTTGCCACTGTACGTAACTTTTACAGCCTTATACATAAATGTATCTCTTGTTGTGCAATAGCTTTTGTCACAACTTTTTCTTTTCATTCTTTGTGAAAACCGTAAATTGGTTACAAATTTATAAAGTTTATCAACATCTAGAGTAAAAAGCCTCTCTCTGCAGCAAGAAAGGATATCCAATTCCCCTTCTCTTAGAAGGAAACAACACAAACAAAACACTAACTACAAACCCTACCACAAGAGGAAGAATGTTGGTCACCCTCCGAGGCATTGCCGGATAATAACAACCCACAACATCATAATGCGACGCTGCAAACGCTAGGAACGCGACTACCGAAAGCGAGGCATGGAAGAGATCCGCCCATCTCAACCTATAATCGGAGGGCACGCATGGCTTTTTCCGGCTGCCTTTGAAAGTCTGTATCCCCCGAAATGTGGCCACTCCATAGTATAACCTGCCAGTCACTGTTTTGAAGCTATCGGTGAGTGTAAAGAAGATGCATGATGCTGCTGAAAGAGCGATAAAGAGACCCGTCAGCCAGCGGTTGAGAGGGGTGCATACGCCGTCGTTGGTGAAGAGAGGAGTGAAAATGGTGAAGGAAAGAACGGGGGCCGTGGGCAGGAGAACGTTGAGACGTGCAGTGCCACTTAGTATTGCGTTCATAGCAGACATGAAATTGGATTCGTTATTTGGGTCGTCATCGTGTTCTTCAGTGCTTTCAATGAGGTCTTGGATGATGGAGTAGTTTTCCATCGTTTCTCAAGGAGGCAGTTTAGATGGAAGGAGTTTATAAACAACGGCCCTGCAGAAAGGGAGGATTCTTTGCTCAAGTGAGGGGGACAAGTAATTCTATGTGAAGTATTGAATTTCTTGTTGGGAGGTTTTCTTCGTTGATGACAGGTCCGTTGCTTCTTTAAAAAGCACTTATGCTCGGAAGCACTTCCAATAAAAGAGCTTTTATTTGGAGTACATCGAAATTTTTAAGAAAAATTCAAGTGCTTTGCTTTATTAAGAAAACACACAACAGATGCTTCTTCCACAAAACACTTCAATTGCCTTTTTCAACTCATAAGCACTTTTAAAGTTTTATGCCAAACATTACCATAACCACTTTGGATGATATAAAAGTGCATTTAATTATTTTAAAAGCACTTCGAAAAAAACCAGGCAATTACAACAGCAGAAAACGCTTTTGGTTACTACGTTGGGAAAAGTTGACACTGTTTATGGGTTGTAAAGGCACTTTCAAATTTTTATTTTTTTAAACAAGCACCTCCATGCGCTTCCAATTGCTTTTTCAAAAAGCACTTGAATTCTTGTCAATAAATAAAAAATTGGCTTGCCTCTCATCAAAGCGATTCCAGCAAAAGTTCTTGGGATGGTCGTAGACTGAGTAGATTAGTGAGTCCACAAATAAGCCATCAACTCCGTATGCACAACTAGAAATCCTAAATCGACCAATTTAGCAGTATGTAAGGACCAAAACAAACTCACATATATAATCCTACGTCACAGACCAAATGCAGAATTTTAACCAAATGAGCTTCAAGCAGAACCGAAGAAAAGCCGATAGCAAAAGAACACGCAAAAACAAAAACAAAACTTGAGCAAGAGCAACAAATTGTATAAGATTTTTCACTAGCTTGTATTTTGTGCACTTCCGACACTGAATCGATGAGTAACATTTACAGATGTACCAGAAACAATGTCATCAACAACAATAATGGCTACGACGTTTCACTGATTCCGAATTAATCATGGCTTTTCCACCACAGTAACTCTATACTTCCTTAATAGGCTTTACAAAAAAAATTATACTTCTTTCTAGCTGCACATTGTGACCAATAGGTCCGAAACTATCCCCAGAAATTTGCTAAAAATCGCACAATAACAGGGCAGAACTGAACGAACTATTTACAGTACTTAAAGCTGTCAAAAGGAGCAGCATTGATATTCGTAGATGGAAAAGGAAAAATGATGATACCGGATAAAAAGAAGGCTTAGGCTGAAGAACTGTTGAACCCGCCTTTCACTTGGGATTTTGAATGAGAAGAATCATCATTTCCAACATCACATTGGTGACAGGGGTCAGAGGATTCTGGTGAGCACCAATCATCGGGGACGCTCAAGAAATGCTTAGACATGAACCTTCTGAATCTCCTCTTGTACTCTATTGGCGAGATGACAGTCGGCAAGACATTTTTCGGCACAAGTGAAGACTTCACCCATGTCTCTAGTTGCTTGTCCCATGTATACTGCCTAAGATAATCAATAATGCCACATACAAGCTCCTGACGTTCAGTATCTACTCCCACAAGCAATGAATAATCCATAACATTGATTGACTGAAAATTTATGAACAAAACCATATCAGTTTATAGATAGTTTGCGGAGTTTGTAATAGAATTAGAATATAATTCCAACCAATGGACAATAAACCAGGTGGAAGACAATTAAAAAGAAATTATCATTGAACAGCAGATACCCCTTCTAGATAGCGTAGGACCATTAATATCCTCTGCTGTCATTAAAGGAATTTCAGAAGATCCGGAACTACAAACAAATGAGGGAAATCTGTACAACTCACATTGAGGAAAGTTGTGTCATTCCACACAGCCCGCTGCAATATACGCTTTGCTTTGTTACTAACATACAGTGGAGATGAGTTCATGTCATTGACAAAGTTCTGATCCAAAAGGACATCTCCCAAACCACCACTAGCAGAATTGAATCGAGCATGTAGAGCACCTTTAAGATCATACTGGCGAGTGATGTTCCGACCAAAGGTAAGATTCTCCATGACCATCAGATCATGCCTCATTTCTTTCCCACTTTTTGTCTGTCTCACAATCACCTACAAGGAAAAAAAATTAGTACAGAGAAAGAAACAACCCACCAATGGAAAGAAAATCAAATGCTACAAACCTGATAAATCCCAAGAACTTTCGCAAGGCATGTTTGATTCCCATTGTCAAATGAAAGCTTTACGTGCTTGAAATACTCGTTGGAAAACTTCATAAACGACTCAAATTCTGTCTTCTTGATTTCTTTAATAATTAACCTGTCATCAAGTGTTTTGGCAAAAAAGGATTTGCTCTTCCCACCTTTAGCATCCCAGTTTCTGCAACGGCTAAGGGAAGCAATGTAATCAACTTCAGATTGGCAGCATCGATTGCGGAGATCACGAAATTGATTGGCATATGGACATATCACAGTATATTTATCCTTGCCAAATGATTTTGAAACTCCTAGAGGGACTACTGGGTTAACAGTTCCAGGCGGAACCAGAGAATCCAACAAATTCAACCCATCAAAACTGGAGAAGCGTGACTCATCTAAAAAAATGCTTGCCATATTATGGACAGAATCTAAATGTAACGAACCATTTGAAGACCAATGCAGGGAAGTATTAGTGGGAAGTCGAGTCAGACCGTGCAAATTCTCAAATGTTCTCGCAGCAACTCCATTCTCTCCCTTGCTATCGTCATCATGAACCTCTGTTTGTAAAGGTAGATCTTTCAATAAAGCTAGTGCACAAGCAATCATACTCGACAGTTCTCCTTCATAGTCTGACACAACATGGTTATCAGTTCCAAGAGGAATGTGCAGCATTTGCCCTTCTTCCATGATCAGCTGATACGCTGTGGGTAAGTTCTCTGCAGTATAGCTACTAATTGATTCAAACTTTTGAAAGAACACTCTGTGTAGATCTCTCATGCCAACTTGACGAATTTCAGAGAATGGTGCCCAAAACCAGTCATGTGAACCTTCCAAGTTGAATGACAGTGAATGGTGATAAGTGCCTTTCATTGATAGATCTGAATCGGCAAAAGCACCATCCACATTTTCTGCTAGCTGATCAGTCTCACAATGATAGCTGGAGCCATTCCTCAGATTGGACCCCTCCCTGGCCAACCGTTTTGGGCTTGAACAATCCACATTCGGTGTTTTGAAACCCTCAGCCGAATCAGACACATTAACTGGATCAGCTCCATTAGATTCTTGAACAGGACCTTCAACTGGAATGTCTTTTATTGGAGATCCATCAGCTTCTGCAGCTGTATCCAATTTGACTTCTAAACTGGTACCAATACCTGAATCAACTTTTTCTGGCTCTGCCTTCACAGATTCTCTAGAATGGATCATCGTTGGATCTGGTGACAGTAATGACTGCATGCGCCGTTCCCAAATACATGCTTCAAGGAGCAGTTCCCAAAGTACTCTGTTCAAGCTAAGTAGTTTGTAGGCAACCTGGTCCGAGTTCTCCGTCCTGGTAACAGCATTCTTGAGCACTACCTGTTTTTGTAATAAGGATTAGGTGAGAAGGATAAAAGCAAATTTGCTACAAATGAATTTCCTACAGAGAACAAACAAATCCGTGACTGTAAAGTGAAAAGTAAAAAGGACATGGAAAGAAAAAATAGAAGTCTAGGAGAAGAATGTCAAGCTAGACAAATAGAAGCATTTGGACAGTAAGTTCATGAACTAAATACTTCTAGGCAGACTAAGCTCCCATCCTTCATACCAGCATTCTTATATGTTTAAAAAGAAAATCTTAAAAGTTCAGTTCAAAACAGATAACAAAATGAATTCACTGCATCTGAAAAGTAAAAAATATTTGGAAAGGAAAACAAATCTATACAAGAATGTCAAACTACAAAAAACTGAGAAGATTTGGACCAAATGTCCAAACACAATCAAATTAGGCAATTATCATGAAAATACTATAGAACACTCGAACAATACAACCTTTTTCACAGATCACAATAGCCAGTACAGAAGTATGGGCAGCATCAGCAACAAATTGTAACAAACGCATTCACATTCAAACAAAGACTACCAAGCAATCCTTTCTGCAATACATGCCACAAAATTTACAAGACAAAAATATGTATGGAGAAAGTTGACCTCTAACTCAGATTTTTCTTGCTTTAGCATCTCTTCAATGTCAGAGAATTCTTTAAATGAGCCTTGAAGTTTCAAAGCCAACCCATCAAATTGAGATCTCATCTTTTCTAAAGAGTTGGCAACCTCTGTGAACAAGTAAATCAATTTCATGTACACCTGGATTGAAACAAAAAGGTCACATCCAGTGCAACGAAATAGGAAAAGGGTAGGTAAGAGAAGGCTAATGTTTCTGCCATAGGCAAATGTCATATTAATGAATCATCAGAAATCGAAGAAGCAAGCAAAATAAGAAAAGAAATATACATTCTGAGTTTCTTTCACAAGCCAGTCTTGTCTAATTGAACTGCTGAATGGAAGCTTCAGAGGAGGCACAGAAACAGTATAAGTCGTAACAGGGGAATACTTGAACAAGGCAACCATAGGGCCTAATCTGCAGATCGTCCAAAATGACAAATTAAGGACAACCAAAATAAGTGCACAGTTGCTGCTTGCAGACTCAATATAAAAGCAGATACACCAAAATATACTAATAGATCCAATCCAAAATAATGTATAATTTTTTCCCACGATTTTTATTCTAAAATTTAAAATAACCATAAAAACAGAATATCGCACAGCATCAAAATGCTTTTGAACCTAGGGAATGTCTTCACATGCCCCAGATAAGTGCCAAATCCCACCTCCCATAATGCATAATCCTAAGTAGATTTCCCCACGTATTTGAATGGAAATCCTTTCATAAACTAGAAGGTTTGAAATTGCACTTTAAGTAAGTAAACCCTGATATAAGCTGAAAGTACCACTAGATGAGAGGGAACAGATTTATACCCAAAGAAGTAGAGAAAGTCCTCTTGCAAAGAATGGCCGCAGCTAGAAAATAAATTAGACAAAGATGGGTTCGAGAAATTGAGCTCCAGGAAATTTCCAAATGATAGACCACGTGCAGAAGTGGAAATCAATACTCTTTTTGTGCACTTTGAGATTCCATTCCTAGATTTACATTTACCACATCGACTCCACATCCAAAGTTTCCCTTCTGCTCCACCAGGCAAATGCACTTCTCCAGGGAGCCGTTTAACTCGAATAGTAAGCTGCTTGTTACGATGTGCATAATAGTAGAAGTGAGCTTCTGGAAGTCCACCACATGATGTGCACTGGCTTTGCTGCAGGATACAAGTTTCATTCAGTTCCATCTTCAAAAAACTCATTGTTTTTAAGTTTGAAAAAAATCAAATCCTTAAATTTAAAGAAACTGAAAGTCAGTACTTCAATGACCGAACATTAGGTACAGTATTTAATAAAACTCAAAGTAGCAACCGTCAGCAGAATAACACTGAAACATTCCAGAAAATATATATACATAATGGGTTAGGATCCGAAGACACCTTTTTGAACCACGTTTTGCTGGGCCCACTCTGTAATGTATTTCAACGATCCAACCGTTATCTTTTATGTGTTACCTCAAACATCCCGACTACTAAAAATCATCCAAATCCAAAACCATATGATCATTGGATTAAATTTAGTGTTTCTCTGTAGAACTGTATTCGTCCATTGTCTTCACCACAAATGAATGTCTTAATGGTTTTGGATTTGTCTAAATTTTTGCAAGGATGAACTATGAATCATGAATTGAAATATAGACGGTTTGGATCCTTGAAAAAAGTTACGGAATGGGAGCCACAAAAACGTGTGTCAAAATGTGTGTCCCCAGATCCTAACACATGCATAATTGCAGTATTGGACTTAACCATTTACAATATACTATGCAACAAGTAAATGACAATAAAATGCCTCAAGTTAGAGATATGTGCAACCTGATTGAGTAAATTATCTTGAAGAAACTTTCCAATGGGAACATCGAAATTCTTGTAGAACATGATATGAGAAAAACGGCTCTGCTCACAAACAGTGCCTCTTAATGCATTCTGGCTAGACATCAAAACCAAAATACTCTGAGAATCCAACACAGCACTGATTTGGTTCTTACTTTTCATTTGATCTTCACTATTTCCATGATCTTCTTTCACCTCAAGAGAAGCTTCTGTGCATGTAAATGAAGTCTGATTTTTCCCATTAAGTAATCTCTCTTCATCAACACTACCTTTATCTTCAACATCACAATGCTCTGTTTCCTCAGGAGTTGTACAAATAGAAACAGATCTTGTGATTGGGTCATTCGGTTCTCTTCCACTGAATCCAAAGTATGAAGAAAGAGACTGATAAGAAGAAGATGCTAGGGGAAAATTCTCCCCTATAACTTTCCTTAAAGATGCTGAAATGGACGACAAGCCAGAAAGTACAGCAGGATTGTATGGTTCATCAAATGTGGAACGGCCTTCGACTTCCAAGGTAGAACTGTGGGAACATCCTTCATGAAATCCATTGGAAATGGGAATATCAACTGTATCAGACCCAGTTTCAGCACTAGTCTCTGTATTCTGATGGACACATGAGTTAATTGATCCTAAATTAAGGGTTTTTTTATCAGTGGACAAATCCGTTGCTACGTCAGCAAATGGAAGTGTAGAGAACATTGCTCTCTGGTCAACAAGGAAAGCAGTCTCGAGCATTAAATGATACGCCAGAATAACTGCACACTGCACAACACACTTGACCTTCTTCAATTCATCACTCCGTGCTCCTTTCAGCAAAATCTGTAGGGTCAATTCAAGCACAGTTATTCATACAAGATGCTAAGCAGCCTACAAAAGTTTTCATTCTCTTATCGAATTTGACAAATTACTTATCATATGATTGCTTGTGTCAGATCAAAAAAGAATGTTCAAGAAGTCCAATGAAAAAGAGTGGTCTGAACTAGGCAGTTCAGATTTAAAGTTATGACTCAATAAAAATGATGGCGAAAGAAGGCACATTGACTGAATAAAAAAAGTAATAGGGCTCTGAAAATTGTAGATTAAGGGAAGGCATATTGACTGTGAGTAAATGTTTTCTGGTAATACAGCAGCTCCTTTGAGCAGTAGTTCTCTGTATGGCACTATTTTAAGAAGTGTGAAAAAATAAGATGCAATTATTTAAGTTAAGCTGAAGCTATTTGAACATAAATGTTACAGAAAGACCAATGCAACATTTAAGTATCAATATATTATACGAAAAATTCATAATCAAAAGGACTCTGGAGAGTCATTAAAGTATTTAGCACTGGAATATGTGTGTATTTGTATAGATTATGCAGATATCAGAGTAAGATGGGGTGGATTATTGACTAACCGTACAGCCCAGGCGTGTAGGACAGCCCTCAATAAACATTAATGTTTTACTTGGGACCTTTCCTCCACCTCCAGCATGCTCCTCTATAAACTTTTCAATGTGAAAAGAGTCACACTGTTTTAGATTTTTGCTCGTCATTGTATCTGATGACAAAATTGGTGACCCGGTACAACGAGCAACTCTCTCTAGGCGATGGAGCTTCATGTCAAAGATCAGTGTAATTCCATTCCCAAGAATAGCCTCTTGAATATCACGAGAAACAGTTTTTTCCACTAAAACCACATTTGGATGGCACAATTCTAACATTTCGATGACAAACTTCAGATAATCTCTTTCCTGTTAGCAATAAAATATGAGAACACGTATTTGTTTACTTCCCTGAAATAATGACTGATATTATTATCCTATTACCTGTTCCATTGAATCGAAGGATGACAATCCACTTGAAGACTGACCAAGTACTCCCTTGATTAGCAACAACCTTGGATTCTTGTACTTGGTCGACATATGCTTGTGTGCAGCATGCTTTTTGAAGACCAAACCTTTTACTAGTTGACTGCAATGGCATACACTGATTCAGGTTTTCATCTATCAGATGACAAAAGTATTCTCAAAATATGCTAACTAGAATTACCAGTAAAGTAATTATTACACTGTTGAATTGCATCTCACAAGTCTTAAAAACTGATATAATGAAACAAAAGAAATTTTGGGTGGTGTTTCTAAGCAGCCAACCAGGCAAGCATTCCCTTTCCCTTATTAAAAAATGCATCTAGTGAGTTAGAAGACAAAAATTTAAATATCTTTTTCGGGAAATCTGTAATGGAAAGGAGGAAGAAGCTGATATGTTTTTTTTGTATTGAAGGAGAAATAAGTTTCTTTTGAAAGATTATAAGTTGTTGATGAAATCGAAATAGCTGACTCTTCAGCCTCACATAACTTTGAGAAAAGAAAGAAGAAGCCCAGGTTGCATTCGAAAATTTTGCAAAAGCAATTTTCTAAAGAAATAAATCCGAAACATGCAGCCATGATTCTTTCAATCAATAAAAAGATAAATACCTGAACTTAATAAAAGATGAAGATAATTAACAAACAAAAACTAAAACGTAAAAGAAAACCAGTTGTTTATTACTGTCACCTTTGGGTGCGAACACCAGTTGCAATGCATTTTACTTTCACGTAGCCATCTGGATCCATTGCTTTACCAACAACAGCATCAGGTTTCAAAAATGAAGCAGCTTCCCATGACAAAGAAGCAATAATGTCCACCCAACTTTCAGCACCCTCCCCCAAAGATGCAACACCCACAGATTTAAGTAGCTGACTGATCAAGGCTTTAAACTTTCCATTAATCACTGCTTCCATTGCTCTTTGTTTTTCCTCTTTAAACGTATAACTTCCACTTCCTTCATCTCCAGAATGACTCAAAGAACTCGATGTACCCCATTTCATGCCATCACCACATTCCTCATCATCATCATCATCATTGAAAGCAACACTATCCTCCATGTCATCCTCCGGATCATCAGGTTCAGGGGGTTCCCATATCTCAGCATTTGTATCATCTTCTAAAGAATTTGAGTTCTCAGCTCCATCACTATGCGAACTAGTGCTTGCATTGACATTAGCTTTTGCTTCATGGTCATCACTTGTCTGTATAATCTCAACATCTCTTACTGTATACACATTACTGCCACAACTACTTTCGCTCAGGTTGTTTTCCATCTGTTTTTCTGATCTATCAAATCCATTTACTGGATGTTCAAAACTTGAGTTTTGTAACCTCCCATTAGACCAACAAAAGAGATCCTCTTGAGAATTGCCTGTCGTGTTTTCCTCTTGAATACCCCTAAAATAAATTAAAGTAGTATATTGGTCATGCAAAGTACTTAGGAAAGATTACTGTAACTGGAAACAAATTTTAAAAGGAGGGTACATACTTATAGCATGAGCTCACATCAACAGAAAACTCACCTAATAGAGCAGAAGTTAAAAGAAATTATCAAACACACCATCATAGGCTAAACTTTTGTATTTTAAGAAGGCCAAAATGTATCATATAAAAAAAACAAAATTGGACACTTACTGCAGTTAGAGACACAACTGTCACTGCTTGACAAGGAAGTTGCTGGACTGATCATTGGCATTGTATATATAACCGTATGACCCTGCTTGATAGATTCTCGCTCCTGTTTCTCTGCACAAAATTTGCAATACTTACTGGGGCCTCCTTTAGCTAATGGAAATAATTTCGAATTCTCCTGTTTTTCCTTCTTTTCCGTGGACTCTGTCAATTCTGCACCACAGTAGTGACACATACTGCTGCACACCCAATTTCAAAAGAAAACCCAAAACAGACCGGTAATTAGTCACCTATTTGGTTAACCCAACACAGACCGGTAATTAGTCACCTATTTGGTTCAAACAAAGGAAAAAATTCAACAATAGTACAAGGAAAAACCGGAAAAACAGTTACCAATCGTATCTTCGCTTGTTGAAAATCTACGTTTAACAGTCTATACACTTTGAAGATTGACCATTAAAAAAATTAAGAAACCGGGATTCCTTTATGGTTATCTAATATTTCTAAACACGAATTCTAGTTACGGGGATCAACACGAATCAATCCATAATCAGATCATACTACAACAAAACAACGTGAAGCACATACATACATACATACTTCACCCAGTCAAAAAAAAAAAAAAAAAAAAAAAAAGGAGAAGAAGGTTGAAGAACGAGTGCAAATGACATGAAAGTCCATGGTTTACTGTACAATGTCAAATAGCAAGCTAACCGATTCAATTGAAATTTGGTCACCAAATAACCACATGGTACCAAAAAAAATTGAATATTCAAACAGAAAAAACGCACAAATCTTCCTAAACATTTACACCTTAAACCAAAAAATCGGATTTTTTCTGTAAAAAAAATCACAAATAAAAGATCCAAAGTGAAGAAAAATACCCAATTCTTGAACGAATACCAGCTTTACCAAGAGATCAGAATATCAACAAATAATATGAAAACTGATTCAAAAAATCAATATGCAAATTCAGAGAAAAACCCAACAAAGAATTTGAGGTGAAGAAAGTGATCCACTAAATAAAATCATCAATCAAAATCTCAAGTTTCGAAAATTAAAATCATGAAGAAATTCGACAACTGGACCAAGATTACAATTTACACAAACAAACTAAAGAAATAACTTAATATTAAAAAAAAAACCTACCATTTTCAGCACTCAAAGAATTAAACAAGAAAAAGAAAAGAAAAAAAAAAAGAAGAAGAAATTGATTACTTACTGTTAAAGAAATCCGCAGGAACAAAGATGGATGTCTGGTGCGACCTCCATATGATCCCAGAGTATAAAACTATTTGGCGTGTACTTGAAAAGCAGAGATCGAAAGTTTATGGAGAAAGCAAGGAATATTAGAAGGGAGTGAAGAAGTTGTTGCTGTTGTTGGTGAGAGTCCACAGAGAGAGTCTATCAGACGCGGAGCAGAGCAGAGAGACAAGAGGCGTAAGATTTGGAGAGGGAAAAAGGGGGCATTGTCAAGGAATGAATTAATTGGATAAATAAAAGAAAAGGAAGGAATTGAATTGAATTGAATTTTCCTTACAACGAAGCTATTTCCACAAGTGGGGTCCATGCAACACTGCCTTACTAGCTGTAAAAATATTGAGTTCAAATATTCTATCGGCTCGTTAGGATTTATCTACTTGATTGAGACGAATTTTTTTTATTTAATTTCTTTTTAGTTTTTAATTTGTTTTAGTTGAGGAGATCAGTTTAAGAGTTAACATTGTTAAACGGGTTTAATGTATCAATAAATGAGATAGGTTATAGAGGATTTTCGATGCAAAAGTTTGTTCTAAAAAATATAATGGGATGTTAGCAACCTTCTTACTTGAATCTTCTCGTTTTATCTTCTCGACTCTCTTTACCATTTGGCAATGTTGCTTCATTATCGGAACTTAAAAATTGTTTAACCATTCGATTAACGTTGACAAAATTTTAGTATTTAAGTGAAAAATATGGTTCGTCGATTTATTGTATAATTGGTAAATGACAAAACGATTTTGGACTTAGCTAATTTTTTTTATTTTTTTAGAGATGATTTTGAAATAGTGATCTAAATAATAGACCGTTCATGTTATCATTTCACATTGCAGGAAGAGAAGGAATGTCAAAAAGATAGAACGAGAAAGTCCAAACAAGAAGGTTGTTAGCATTCCCAAAATATTATTTCTTTCTTTTTTTCAAGTTTTATTACAAAGAATACTTCATACCTTTACCTAGTATGTATTTCTTATTATTAGAAGAAAACAATAAACTTAAATTGCAGCTACAGTGCAATGATATTTCTCACCACTTGTAAGTAAAATTTTTTAAATTTGAATTTCGTAGATTATGTGTTCAATACCATGTTATTATGGAGTGGTTTATCTCAAATTTTAATGTAAAAATAATATTGATGTATTTAAAAATAAATTACCTTTAAGTTTTGCATTCATATCCCAAATAGTTATAAATTAAAGGTCTTGGTTTGACTTTAATAGATAGTAAGTTTTATTTTATTACAAATGATAATCTACACTAACTCGTTTACTAATTTGTAATTAAGATGAAAGGAATTGAATTGATAAAAAGTTGGAATGTAAATGAGTCAGAATTTGATTCATATTGATATTGTTTATTAAAACCTTCTGGAATTAGAAAGGAATTGGTACATAGCTAAAAGCCATGACCACCGATCTGTTAATGCGATGTGTTACATTATCCCAAATCAAAAGGATTGAAGTGGAATTATACAATGCTGTATTTTGACTAATGGCAACAAACCCTTAGGCCCTTTTTGTTATAAACTATTTACTAGTTCACTTGAATCGAAATAAAAATTAACATGCTCACTAAAATGTCCTTATTTGCAATAAATTATTATATGTACTAATTTTTTGGTAAAATTTTATGTACTAATTAATAGAATAAAAGTTAAATACCTCATTTCACCAAATATTAAATACACTAAAATTTAATTTTTTTAAAATTTATTTATATTAATGTTATTATTATTGTTGAATTTCGTATTAAATTGCGCAGCGGTTGGTGGTGTTGGGTTAATGTGAAGGACAATCTTAGAATCTTAGAAATAAGCGAGGGTCTAATGGGGATGAAAAATCCATTTCGAATTCCCCCTCCAACCCAGAATTCAAATACCAGCTAAATGGTATTTTGGTTAAGCCACACAATGAGACAACCACTTTATGCTTAGCTGCTAGACATGCACTTTTATTTTGATTAAGTTGGTACCCGTTCTAATTAATTAGCCTCTTAACTACTTTTATGCTATTTGTCCATAAAAATTATAAATAAATAAAAAAAAAATATCTGCTTAAACAGAAAATTATGGAGGATGAAATAGTCCTGAAAAGAAAAAAGCAAACCTTAGCCTCTAAGGGGATCCCACTCTCCACCTTTCAACTTCTTTCTTTTTGTTTCTTTTGAATTAGGACCAAAAGCATTTTTGTTCATAAACAAATCTTCTACCAGTTTTATTTGGGATTGCTTTTAAGTGTTTTTGTTAAAAGAGTTTTTATAATTAAAGCGTCGAAATAAGAACTTGACAAGTACTTGTTGGAAAATCATCTGACAAGTGTCTATCAAAAGAGATTTTATGTGAGAATTACTTCTAAATCTTTTTACCAAATGTAGGGGTGTACTCAATTGAGATTTTGGGTGATTTTGATTCTTTTAAAGAATCTAGGGATATTCAATCAGGATTTTAAGTGATTCTCTGAAATTCAAGATGTATTCAATTAGAGTTTTAAGATAGTTTATTAAAATCCTTAGAAATCTGGGTGTATTCAATTAAGATTTTAAAGAAGTTTATAACATTTCAGGTGTATTCAATTAGAAATTGATTTTAAAGAATTTAATAAAGTTGAGAAATTAGAGGGAATTGAAGAGATTTCGTAGTGCATTTTAAACATCCACAAATCTCACCTATTCCCTTGAGATTTCGAAGGAATTGAATTAAAATTTTAAATAGAATCTCTACAAATCAATTGAACTACATAAAAATCCATGGATTTATAAATCCATTAAAATCTCTCAAATTCTCAATTAAATAGACCCCCGTAGTTAGAAAACAAATTTCTCCTCACGAAAAGCAATCCCAAACATGTAAACCGGTTGAAACATTGAAAATTCAAGTTCTTCGGGAAAAAGCACTTTTAGCCCTTCCATCGGCAATCCTTATTCCTTTGTGGTGACCTGATCTAAACTATGATAAAGATTTCAGTAGTCCATCACATTTTGTCGACAAATTGAATCCAATTCTTCTCTCAAAAGTCGGAACATGGTTGTTGAATGATTCTGTTGCCATCTACTCATGTGTTTTTCGTCATCATTGTCAAATAAGGATCCTTATTCCTTATTATGTGATCCTTCTACCCTCTTATGTGTAGTTCGATCAATGCATGTTTTCTTCATATCACCCCTTGTTCCAACATTGGTTTATTTGTAATTAGACACTGCGAGCTTGATCACGATTTAGGAATGTTTATTGTTTTAGGGTTTTGGTTGTTTTGGTATTAGGGTTTTGTTGTATTTTTACAATTTTGAAATAATGGTGGCAACTCTTTGTATTTTCTCTTTACAATTTAAAAAGAGGATCTGCCAGTAGCTAAGTCACGACATTCCACCCTTTTAAAGGGTCAGAAAGATATTTCAACCTTCTCCTGAATATCATCGTGTGATTCACTAGCGCCATGAATTGAACCTAAAATGAGCCGTGTAGAATATGGGCCTAGAATTCGCCTCATCACTGGGCCACCCTATGGTGGCTGCCAACTCTTTGTGTTTTGATGACATTACTTTTTTTTCCTTTGGGAAATTAGCAGGAATAATTAATTTTTGACATTTGTTGCAAAAATGATTGGTGTTCATTGCGTATTATCGTTGTGTGGCTAATATGTCATCGTTGCGTAATCAATATGTGATCAATGAATTGTATTTTAAAAGAGTAATAAATTGAGGTGATATGCATTTATTGGAAGAATTAATAAAAATTGATTACAACTGAATAATTATCATTAATACCATAAGAATAATACAATAAATTTTGCTAACATCACGTCAATACGGAAATTTTGCCTATATTAATTACATAGAATAATTGTTGCGTGTAGCCACATATACAAGAAAGAAATTTTATCTCGTCACCCTGTATCCATAAAGGTCCGTTTGGTTCACAAAATGAGTTCTTTTCAAATGAAATTCACCTGCTTATTCAATTGAAAACATGTTTTACAATTGTTTTGAGCGGAAGAAATTTTATTAAAAACAAATATATTAAACGTGTCTCTTAAAACAACTCAAAAGATTGCACATATGAAAAGAATGTCACGACACCTCAAAAATACAGTAGGGTTCTTCAATCATGGAGATCCTTAGTTCTAAACCTTAAAAGAACTATAAGAGAGGTTGCACGAGGGAAAGATCACACCTATCTCTAATGATTTGCATTCAATGACAAAGAAGCCCTAAGATGAGTCCCCTCCAACAAATTAACATCGAGTTTTAATTTGCTGAGCGCAAAAATCACAACGCCACCATCTCAGATCTAAACAACAATCGCCACAAAGATTTCGAATTGAACAAACTTATCGCATAACTAAATACGATAGCCACAAATCTAAACATCTCCATAGTGGTAATCTATATATGAATAACCTCTTTTTAATCATAAAACATTTTGGTCCCAACTTGGGCCAATGATATATAGGAATATGCTTCACATTGTAATAAGTTATAATTTGTTCTAAGTCTCGTCTTAAGAAACTTACCTCCTTATGGTAATAATTGTCAATAATTCCAAAAATATGTAATGTCACTAATAAAAATGTAAGATGAAATAAAATATTTATCTAAAATTGTCTAGACAGTGAATTATTCTTTAGAGTTGATTCCATGTATTTGAGGTTGCAATTACGTAATAACTCGTCAATATAGACACCTTGCTGAAGTCAAAATGTTTCTAGCTTGTCAAGAATATTTACAGACTCTTGGCATGAAACTTTTGACGTTAAAGAGAGAGCTACATGTAGCTATTAGAGACTAGGCTCTCTTTCCTTCCAGTGTCTATATTTTGAAAATTAACATGCTTCATTATTTGTAACCATACAAGTTTCATTAAGGAAAAAATATATATATATATATATTTAGCTACACCCTTGTTAAATAATAACATCTTTATAGTAATAAAGTAATTTAGCCTCAACATTACGACTATATAGAGGTTTTTTGTACTAGAAATGATACCTCATCACCTTTGTCCAGTAAGGGTATATATGTTTGCAAATGCTGAGAAATGGTAATTACGAGTGGACTGATCATTTTGTAGTTATCATTAAAAGATCAACGGTGTAAAAACTCACTGAGATCGGAAATCATATAACCGATTAAGTTAATAACTAGGAGCAAACCTAGACAAGTAGTCAACATCGTATTAAGTTACTAACCAGTTAGTGCTTGAGCGATCATACGTGTGTGGGTATATATA